ACTCACATAAGTAGAAAGCCACCGATGACCTCGAGTCATGGATATAAAAAGCTACTAACAACTTTGTCACAAAGGTGGAAAGTCACTAGCAACTTCATGTCGCTCAAGCAAGGAGCAAATGGTCGTTTTAAAAAGTCGTTGGCGGCTTTGTCACATAAGTAAGAAGCTACCGACGATTTATTTTCAAACATACAAACAAATAAACAAAAATATTTTGAAGCCTTCGACGATTTCTTCACATAAGTGAGAAGCTATTGATGGCTTATATGCAAACAAATAAATAAAATATTTTTGAAGCCCTCCGACGGCTTCGTCATATAAGTGAGAAGCTACTGCTGGCTTATTTTCAAACATGATGCACACAAAAAAATAAAAAAATAAAAATAAAAATAAAATAAGGTTAAAATAAAGATGAAAAACGAGATACGTAAACATACCAAAATAACTTCGAACACCATCGGTAGCCTTAAAACCATATTGCACACCACAATCAATCAATCACCCATCCCAAAGCAAACACAAATCATGTTTTGAAAGTAAGTAGTTTTAGAATTTTTACCCAAAGATCCTGTGATTCCAATGTCTAGCTTGGAGTTAGTCTTACTCTCCTCGTTCTCGATGATAATCAAATATTCGATTAGCCAAAAAGGAGAGTGATCTGTTTGTAGATAACACGTGGTGCATATCTTATATGTTTCTGTCAAAACAAATTAAATAAAAGCAGCAACCAAACCACAACACAAGATCTTTTTTTCTTTTTCTTTTTTAAGTTTTTTTTTCTTGTTTTCTTTTCGGTAACACAAAAAAAAGAAGCAAAATGTTCGAGGGTCGTTTTGAGGGAGGTCTTTGCGTCTGTTTAGTGGGTATTTTGGAGAGTTTATTGGGTGGTTTTGAAGCTGGTTTAGAGATTTTTTTAGGATGCTTTGATGGTTCAAAGGGGCTGCCCAAAGAGGTTGCTCTATAAAGGTTTTTGGGGTCATTGGTGACGGTTCGGAGCTGATTTGGGGGCTTTTGGTAGACTTTTAGGTCCGTTTCGGGGCTAGTTTTTAGACTACTTTTGAGGGTGTTTTTAGGGTATCTTAAAGGTTTCTTGGGGGTGTTTTAGTGGTTGTTTTGGGTAAGAGAAAAGCGGACTAAAAGGGGTTGCTTCGTAGGGGTTTTTGAAGGTCGTTAGTCACGGGTTCGGAGTCGACTTGGGAGGTTTTTGGTAGACTTTTAGGTCAATTTTGGGGCTGGTTTTGGGACTAATCTTGAGGGTGTTTGGGGAGTATCTTAAAGCTTTCTTGGGGGTTCTTTAGTGGCTTTTTTGGGTGAGGGAAAGGTCGGCTAAAAGGGGTTACTCTATAACGTGAGAGAGACTTGGGTCTAGTGGCTTTGAAAGTGCTGGCGATAGATTAGCGAAAGGGAGAGAGTAGGTGTGGTGGTTGTGGGCGTGTGGAGGCTGGCGAGAGGTGGCTGGTTGAGCAAGAGAGGCAAACGAGAGAAGGGCTGGTTGGCAAGAGAGAAAGAAGTTGCAACAACTGGGTCTCGTTTGATGTTTATAGTGAACGAGTCCCTCTAAAAAAAAAAAGCATGGATGGCTTTATTTGTAGGGTTTTTTTATGGCAAAGTTTATTTTAGTCATCCATGCTCTACCACCAATCAATTCAAATTTAGTTTTGATTTTTTTTGCGTCAATGGGCTCCCTAAATTTGAATTAATTGGGACTTTTTCTCCCAATTGTGCCCTCCTTTATTTTAATTAAAGGATATAAGTTTCATTTTTTTTATTTTTCATTTTTTTTCATTTTTTTTTGTTTAGTATTTTGCAATAGAAGTAAAACTAATAAAGATAAAAAAAAAAAAGGGTGATAACAACATGATTTTTTAAAAGAAAAGAAAAAAGAAAAAAGACGTGAATTTTTAAGGAAAATGGCTAGGTATCTTCAAAAGGAAAACATAAAGGTATTTTTGAAGGAATGATGACCCTTCGATAATCTAATGGTGAAGGTCCTCATATGGAGGAAAAGGAAAAGGAAAAAGGAAAAGGGAAGGCACCTAGTACTTTTGTGATATTTTTCACAATTACATGTTTTAAAGAGGGTCAAATATACTCACATTCGGTATGGGTACATCCGAAAAGAATTTGGAATTTTTAAAGGTATGAAAGAAATTTTATAAAATGCATTTCTCGTGCATTACATGTATAACTATACTTACCGAGCCTAGCTTACCTAGTTCTTGTGATGTAGGTAAGAAGAATAGTATATGATGGCTTATTTATTTCTCTTTAAAGGTCATTGTTGAGGGATTTTCATCATGTTCGTCATGTACATCTCACTTGTGGTTGCAAGCTAGAGGTAATTCATGTTTTTCTATTAGTAAGTTTTGGGATTTTGTTGTATATTTTAGAGTTAGGAATACTTGTTTTACTACTTTCGATAGATTGTAAGTCGATTGGTTATGAGATAGCAAAAATATGGTAGCAATAGTATGGCTATAAAATTTAAATGAGTTGTAAAATTAGAATAGCCACTTTTACGGTGTTTTGATGTTAAATAGAGTTATATACAAATAATGGTGTTAATGGTATTATTAATTTGAGCGAGAGATACTTATTAAACGAATGAATAATAAGTGAATAAATATGATAAGTTAATAAATTCAATAAGTTAATAATAAGTGAATAAATATGATAGTTTAAGATTATCAATTAAGAGGAGGAAAAATAATTAATCTATCCGAGTAAAAACTTAAAATGAACTTATTTGACGTAAATAAAAAGGACCAAAGAATTTATTTTTTCTCCAAACGAGAATAAAATAATAATATTTAATTTTTACAAATGTGCATTTTTCCTCAAATTTATACGTAGGAAATAATATTGGTAATTTCCGAAAATTGATTTATTTAAAAGTGGACCTAGTTTAAAAATTATAGAGCTTCCGTGATAGTAATAATAACAATCTAGACAGTTAAAGGGCACAAAACCTTGTGTCTTGCATTCATTGCACTTAGAATGTAAGGTATGACAAGTAATATCCTTGACTTATTAGGTCCTAAGTTGGATGTGTTATATAAATGTTCATGGAAAAGATCGAGGAAAATACATTTTATTGCATGCATATTCATGTCATAATCACGAAAAGGTTTTTCTTCATTATTTTTAATGAAATGAAAATGAAATGACATAGTTTTCAAAAAGACATGGCTAGACATTTTCAAAAGGTTTGTAAGAGAAATGATCACCCTTTTGTGAGAAAAAAGAAAAGGAAAAGGAAAAGAGAAGGTGTCTAGTACTTTTGTGGTATCACAATTACATGTTTTAAAAAAAGGGCTAGATATATGCATGTTCGACAAGATGTGTCCGAAGAGAAAAATAAATTTTGAAAGGCACAAAATGAAATGTTTTTAATTGCATCGCATTCACTTCATGCATGAACATACACTTTTTGAGCATTGCTCACCATTTCTTCTTATGATGTAGGTGAGAAAAAGATTAAATGATGACATGCTTTTGAGATTAAAGTTATTGTTGAATGAAACCTAGTTTGCCGACGTGTATACTTAAAGTGTAGGTGTGAGTTAGAAGTCTTAAATTTATTTATTTATTTCGTGTTTTTTGGACACTACTATGTGTTCTAGGATTAGTTCTTATGGTATGTAAATTAATGATACTTTTAGAACAACTCTAAATAATAAATACATGTGTGTGTTTAGTAGTAGTTAAATACGATTTTGTGACTTAAATTAATGGATGATTTGATAAATTGGTTTAAAGGTTTAAATAAATAAAATGGTTCAAATAAGAAATTGAAATGATATTTAATTGATATTTAATGATTGAATGGCTAATTTGGCTTTCAAGGGGCTTAATTAATCAATTGACTTCTAATAGGCTAAATTGTGATTTTAACGATGGTAATTAAAAAGAATTTGAAAGCTAGGGATTTCCTATTAAATTGGGAGTTAACTAATTGATTTTAATATATTGACAGGAATTTAAATTTAATAATATGGTTAGCTATTTAATAGTACTTTGTTTAAATGGCTAATTACTTAAATGAAGATTAAATTATATCCATATTAAATGAATTTAACTAGATTAAATCATATTCATATTAAATAGATTAGATTAAATTGTATTAATATTAAATGAGTTTGATTAAATCATATATATAACAGAATTTATATTTAATAAAAAGTAACTTAATAATTTAATATATTGTAATCAAAATATATTTTAGAGTATTTGAGAATGTTGATTTAATTGAAGAATAATTATTTGAGTTTGAAGAATAACTTAAGTTTCTATACTAAATATGGAACTAAGTATTAAATTAAATAATATTTAGACAATTAAAAATACAAGACTTAGTGGCTTGCACTTATGATACTCTGAATGTGTCAAATATTTACTTTACTTGCTGGTTGAAGTGAAGGTTTTGGAGCCGTCGGGGGTATAAAAAGAAAAGGTGATTAGAAAGAGAGAGTTCTAGAGCCCACGTAGATTGTGGAACCTGAAGAAAAGATAAGGGTGATTAGGAGAGAGTTCTAAAGCCACATATGGATGTCGAGATGTTTGAGTAGACAGCATCAAGTCGAAGGCTCAGGAAGTGTCACGTCATGTCCTGCTACAGTACCAAATAAATCAAAACAAAAGACCTATGGTGATAACATGACAAGGTCCTTATCCAATGAAAAGTTTTCCCAATCGCTCTTGCACAGCTATGAGATTAGAGGGCTGAGGTCCTTTCCTCTTCTTTTTGTCAAGGAAAGAAAAATATGGCCAGGCCTTTTAATTGGGGAGCAAAGCTCAACTTTCTAATTTTTGTTCCCTGATCAGATACACAGTAAGCATCTGAAAAATTAAATGAGATTGAACTTCAAACCCCAACAGAACAAATGTTTGGTCCCCAGTTCATTACCATTAGTCGTTCAAAATGCAAGAATAAGAGAGGTAAAAAAGTTAAAAGTAAGTTTTTGTAACAATCTGATTCTTGTTCTCCTAAGAAGCTAGAACTATATTGTCAAATTGCGAAGGATATGGATCTCCCGCTCACCAGCTCGAATTCTGTGTATAACTTCATTGTCCAACTCTGCATCAGCTGATAAGTTCAGGAAGATTGACATGCCCCCAGGAGTCCATAGTAGGAGTCCTTGCTCTAATGTTCTACAATATCCAACAATAGCATAAATAACTCCTTGACCCGTATTAATTGCAATATTGACTGATAACTGCTTTCTTTTAACTAATTAATATAGTTCATATGATGCTGATGCAAGCCATCCCCTGCAGCAAAATGTTTTTTTTTTTTTTTTTTGGCAAAAGAATTGGAAGAACATGAGATCTGAAGTTCTGAAGTTCATTTCAACCGAAAGAATATAATTCATTTATACAGCAGATTGCCTTCTTCCTTCTGATCAACCAGTATACAGATCTCTGCGATGCCACCCCATATATACCCATTCTTGCCATAGGATTGGTTGCCCTTTACCATGCGTGGTCTGCTGGCATTCAGATGGGCGATTTCACAGCCGCCAAGCCATTTCTTCTTCTGTTAAAGTGGTTGCTTGGAGAGTAGCTGGTGCCTAGAAAAAATTGCCCTTCCATTGTCAGTGGAAGAAATTTGAAATTTGAAAGTATGCAACTGCATTTTCACTACAAGTCTCTTTCTTTACAGGGTTGACCACCACAAGTAACACTGCCGATAATTGCACCTGTATGTATTTGATCATAAAACCCATCCAATTGTAAGAACAGCCAAGTTTTTGTTCCCATTCACGAATTGCCAACTTAAAAACTAGCTGTCTCTATGTCTCGCAAACTGATAGACATTTTTGCAGATGTGAAATACTCTCCCAATATAGCTAACGCAGATGCTGCAAACAAGTGTTATGTTCTAGAAGTTTAGGCAGCTAGCTTACTTCGCATTGCTGCTCTCTTATTCCATTTAAAACCAAATATATCTTATCACTTTCAGAATGCAAGCTATCCCCTGCGATAAACCCATGTACAAACCCATCCAATTGAATCAAGCTATAACCAGGACTCTTCTTTACCACCCTGTTACTACTCAATGATCTCCTAATATTCACCACATCTTCCCATCGCTCTGCATTAGCATAAACATTAGCCAAGATCGAATAAACCCCACCATCATCGGGTTTCAACTCCATCAAGTGCTTTGCTGCTTTCTCTGCAATCTCAACATCCCCATGTATCCGACACCCTCCAAGCAAACCACTCCATGCAGAGATATCACCACCCCTAGGCATATCTTTTATCATTTCCGTCACTTCTTTGATCAACCCAGCCCGCCCAAGCAAATCAGCCATACACCCGTAATGCTTGGGCTCTCGAGGGACTCCATAAACAGATTCCATCTCATCAAAAAGCTTCCTTGCTTCATCTACAAGACCCCCATGACTACATCCTACCAAAACTCCTAAAATGCTAATCCCATCTGGTTTTAACCCAGACTCTATCATTCGCGAGAAGTACTCTAACAATAATTCACCATAACCATGCATTGCAAGGCCAACAAGCATTGCATTCCAAGTAAACAAATTTTTATCTAGGCTCAACTCAAATATATTTAGAGCAACGTCAATGCACCCGCATTTCGAATATAAATCAACCAACCCAGTTGACAAAAAGGAATCCACTTTTATCGCATTGCTTTCAATATAATCATGAACTTTCTTTCCTTTCTCAAGTTCTCCTAGCTGTGCACAAGCAGAAAGTGTCGAAACCAACGCAATGTTATCAGGCTTAATCTCTAAATCCACCATAAAATCAAACAATTCAATAGCATCCTCGCAATACTCTCCTTTTGCACACCCAGCTATAATCGTATTCCACGACACAGAATCCTTCACAGGCATTAAATCAAACAACTCCCTTGCTTTCACAACATCACCAGACTTAACAAAACCATCAATCAACACATTATAAGAAACCACATCTCTCTGAGAACTTTCATCAAACACCCTATAAGCATCGGTTAACAGATCAGAAACCAAATAACCATGAGTAAGAGAATTCATAACATACAAATCCGACAAGAACCCAAATTTCAAAACTTGACAATGAAGACAACGAGCTAAAAAACCCCAACGAAGCTGCGCGCAGGCTTTGAGGGCAAACGGGAAAGAATAAAAATCAAGAGGGACAGAAAGTCGGCGCATTTGGATGAATAAACGGAGAGCAGGGAGAGGGAAAGAGAGGATGGTGTGGGCTCTAATGATGGTATTGTAACAAAATGTCGATGGGTTTTGTATAGAATTGAATATGGAGACTGCATAGTGTAGTAGAGAAGTGGAGCATTCGGTCTTGGTGGTGGTGGTGAGAGTGGTTAGAGTGTAGAGGAATTTGGTTAAAATGGGAAGAGAGGAGTGAAAAGAAAGGGGGTGTTTGTGATTGTGTAGGCATGGAGTTGGTGGAGTTGAGAGATTGTTTTGCATTGTTTGATTAATCTGGTGATTATTGAGTGATAATTTTGTGCTGTTATGTGGTTGCTGCTGATTAGCATTCAGTTTTCAGAGCGATGAATTGGTTTGCGTTTTTGACTGGCGGCCTTTTCCTCTTTCTTTTTACATGCCAAAACTTAAAAAATTAGAAGGCTCACAAGTCATAGGAAAAAAAAAAAAAAACGTGAACGGCAGGATTCGAACCTGCGCGGGCAGAGCCCACATGATTTCTAGTCATGCCCGATAACCACTCCGGCACGTCCACATTCATGTCGGTCATCTTCAGATGTTTAATCAAGACTTGAGTTTTAGGATCCTTAATTAAGAAGTTAAAGTGGGCCCTTAGAGAGATATGAAAGGCCCAGGTAGTCTGGACGCGGTTAGAAAGCATATGGTTTACGTAGTCTCTGGGCTTCATGGGCCGGTCCCTTTGAGCACTTCCTATTTTAGAGCGGTCCAGCATAGAGTTGCTAGGTTGAATTTTTGCAAGCTATTTTTCCACGGGGCGTTTGTTTTCGGTCAATATTTTACATTTTACGTTGTTTCATAAGTAACGAAGGAAGAAAAATTATGAGAGTGATACGATGATAATAGAAAAAAGAATTATAAAATTATCCTATAATAAGTCTACGTAAAATATTTTTTAAAAATTTCATGAACTAAAAATAATTTTCATAAATGAATTAAAATAGTTCACATTAACTGATTTTGTTGCATAATATTTTGAGTTAATATCATTACCTGCTTTAATATAATAGATTATTTTTTTCAATTTGATTCCATAGAAAAACAATATACCTTAAATCTATTTTTATGTTTTGAGTTAATTTTTAATTTATTATTTTCGTCAAATTTTCGATCAATTCATCATAAATTAATTTTTATATTAATAAATATAGATTATTTGTGTCAAATAACAAAAATAATTTTATCACATTACATGCTTTGTGCAAACCATATGTTAAATTTCTGTTGAATTGATTGAAAATTTTAACTGAAAAAACAAATTAAAAACCAGCTTATTGTACTTTCAAACCACAGATTGAAAGCTTTTTTTTAAAAAAAAGACAGACTGAATATATATATATATATATATATATATATATATATATATATATAAAAGAACAAGTGAATGTATTAATTCAGAATATTTTTATACAACAAATACAGGAAAACCATAAAAAAAAAAAAAAAAATTCCAAAATAATGCACCCTCAATAATTACACTTGCAAGCATGTAAAACGTGAGAAGTTATTGGATGCTAGGTGTCTCATACTTGTTAAAGACCTGTTAGGCCCTCTAAAAGGACAAATTGTTGTACACCTCAGGTTCTATGTTGACAGCACCAATCAATGTATAATTGATGCAATAGACTAAGACATTTCTATTGCAAGTATTCATGTGGGGTCAAAAATATTTCTTATTCGTCTACGCTATTGGACACAAGTTGTAAGGGGCAACTCAAGCTATAAGTTGCAGGAAAGGCCTTCTTATTCTTAACCAAAATAAAAGCCCAAGAGTTGGTTTTAGCGAAAAGAATTATATTCGTTTAAACAAAAGATTTCAAGTTGAAATATTTATTCATGTAAAAAGTTTTTTTTAGATAATTATATATATATTTTTTGTATATTCGATGGAATAGTAAGAAATTTATTTAAATTTTTAGATTTGAAATAGTTTAGAATCCAAAAATAAAAAGAAAAAAGAAAAAGATAGGCTTATCCAAACTGTCCACAATCCAAGCCTGTCAATTATTTGAAGGACTAGAAAAGAAACATTACATCAACTGATAATTTCAAAAGGAGCAAAGAGAGAAAGAAGAAACATATTAAAGTGTATCTCTCGCCCAAATCGACCCACATAATTGTTCCTTATGACTTACCAACAATAAAAAAGAAAAAAAAAAAAAAAAAGATTAGTCTGTCTTTTTGACTATTCTCCATGCACAGTCTTTCCAGATTTAGCTGCTTCATATCTCTAACTTTACTTGGATTAGTGCTATTTGACACACAGATTCTCACATCCAAATACAACAATGGAGAAATTGTTGGACGGTGCAAATCAAATGTACCCTATAAAAAGAAGAAGCATATTGATCCATTTTGTTGCCATGCACAACTTTAACTGCCTTTCAAATTGTTTACAATTTCCTTTCTTTCTTTCAAGGGTTAGCCGTACACTTGTCATCACCACTCTTCAATTTATTATCCACGTCTTTGGCTTTTCTCCACGTGGAATGACTAGGCGCTCACTCTCTTGATGGATAGAGTAGTGTGATTCACGAAAAAGAAGAATAATCATAGGGCCCTTAGTGGGATAAGCATGACTCAAATTACAGAATGATGCCTTTTGGGACCAGTTTTTCTGGTTTTGATTTTCTTTGCTGATCTGTTCTCTTTGGCATTATGTTGGTAAAGTATGGATTAAACAAAGATTTGAGTGAGTGAACTTTCACTGTTGTTCCTGGATCCGAGGTGCTTATATACTGGGAATGCTGGACAGACTGAACCAAGGCAAAAAAAAAAAAACTCCCAACTTCTAGTAGTTGTTTCTATCGGAACTAATAGCTCTTTGCAACACCAAAACATGCAGAGAAGGAAGAGGAAGAAGATGGTGATGTTAATTTCGAGTGTCGGATAATGTTAATTATCTGCCCTCTTCTTCCTTCATGGGATGCAAGGGGACACACGGCAAGTCATTGAGGCAAAGGGAAGGCCATGCCTTTCTTCCGGTTTTTTTTTTTTTTTTTTTCATGTCATTCTTGGCATAAACTGGTTATGTTTTCAGTCATGAATTACGTACTGGTAGGTTAAAGCTGTGCCAAGATGTACTTCTTACTGTAAAATGTGGCTGCTTTCATAATGCTTGTATGAACTTTCTACTTTTGCTCTCTTTAGTTTCTTTCCGCTCTTTATCAGATGCGCAAAATCCCCAAGCTTTGAAGATTTAGCCACAGATTCCCCTGTTGTTCCATGCACAACCACATCCAGCTTTGAAGTTTGACCATAGCGAACAAGGCAACAAAGTAAAATACCTACTTACTCATCAAGAAATGAAAATACTCCCCTCTTTCGATTTCCTGTCATTCGAACTTCACTTTATAACACACACCAACGGTCATGGAATTATAGGGCAAGTTAAGAAATACAGTTTAGTCTTCAGACATCAATAATCAGCCTACAAATGCAATAGCACAAGTTCATCACCAGTACCAGATTACCAGCTATAATAACAAGGACACATTGATCAAGCCAAGTACAGCATAAGGTTGTATAATGTTTACCACCAACATGCCAACACAAATTATCGATTCTGGACCCTAGTCCAGCAACTATTGATTAAAACAGAGCAATAGCGCAAACAATGTTGATTGACAATCTAGAACACAGGACCAAAATTGTAAAATGAATCAATGGAAAACAATGGCAGTAACTTGCCATGCAGCTCTTGCTGTCTTGCATCCTATGACATACATGTTCAACTCAACATATCCTCCAATCCCATCTATTGTTGGCAGCGCAGTAGTACCGTATCATTCAGATGCCATGCCATTCATTCCTCAAGTTTCAAGAAATTATATAAAATACATTGTTTTCTGCAGTTAAATATGATCTGCATAGTTTTTTGGTATTCGACAAAATACCAGATCAATCCTTAAGGAGGGGAAAAGGAATACGAGCTCGTCTATTGTGGTATTACCTTGCAGTCAAATACAATGTTGTCATATAAAACTTGTTTGTCAACACTTGCCTCGAATAATCCTCTGGGAAAAACTCTCACTGACAAAATTATGAGCCCCGAATCCTGAAGGGGATTACTGTCTATTGTATAATTCAACAAATTGTATTGCCTACTTGACTAGTAATCTTATTCTTAATTTTCGTCATCAAAAGCATTGCTATTTCCAGATCTGACATCAGTTAAATTGCCACAGGATATGACTATTGCAACTCCTAATCAAGATCTAGACTCTTTTTCATAGCCTCATAAACCATATACGTTATGCTTGCTGCTGGCACAACCTTCAGAAGATTTGGAAAAATCCCTTTGTAAAAACCTCTATAACCTTCATTCTTAAATGTCCTCCAAAATACATCAGACATTCCTCTGTAAGGGGCAGGACTATTAGGAGGTTGAGCTTGCATTCTGGAAAAGAAAAAACAGAAAGCACTATAAGATTACATGAATACTAGTTGAGATGGAAGCCAGGATAGATGGAATCTCCAGAGCGAGAAAGAGAATGGGTAGGGTAGGACTTCAAAATATGACATAATACCTGGTTCTAATAACCTGCAAGGGGTAAACACATGTTGCTCCAAGGGCTCCTGAGATTGTTCCACAACACAATTGAGAAAGGGGACCAGGTTCTGTAGAAAATGCAGAGTTTTCAGAAAACAACTTCCAAAAATTCAAGATAGAAAGAAAAAATAAAAATAAAAAAAGGAAAATTATCAAAGAAACAAAAATAGAAATGAGAAAAATGTACCACTGTCTTGCAGTATATATGTCTTTGACATATCTTTCAAAGTCTCATAGGCAGCAAGGTCAATGCCAGCATAAGGGATAATCCCAAGAAGAGAGGGCACGAGACCTTTATAAAAAGCTCGAGGTCCCTCCTGAAGCCATATATCCTTTGTTAGTGCTCCCAAATTTGGAGCCTTTCCACCTTCACAAGCAAAAGTTTGTAACCTAGTTTTCACAAGATCCATGGGATAGATAACAGTCTGTGCAACTGCACCTGCCATACCGCCAGCTAAAAGTCTCCCACCAGGACCTATATCAACCTTGTCTCCCCCTTAACTTCTCCAATAACATCCTTGAACATTTCATAAGCATAAAACTTGATGGCACTTTCAGGTGCTACCTTCACAACATTTAACCCATTACCACGGAAGAAACCCAAGAAACCTTCTTCCTTCAATATCTTGTTAACAGCAGGCACCAGTCGAGCACGTGTAGTCTGAACTTGTAAAACGACCTTCAGGCGATCAAGAGGAGCAGTCGCAGTACGAGAAGCAGCTCCTGCTATACCCCCTGCAACAAAATATCTACTCCTATGAACTCGCTTGCTGATTCCTTCTGGAATAACAGCTTGTTCTCCAATATCTACATGGCATACCCTTTCCCAGTGATGGTAGATATTTTCTATAGTTGCTTCGTGTGGATAAAGTAAAAGAAAATCTCTCCATTCTTCAAAAGTTATAATTCCATTATTATCCTTATCAACATGCTCAACAAAATGGGCAAGCTCCTCATCATCAATTTCAATTCCTGTAAAAATGAAACTGCTGGGGCTTATAAGATGAAAAAACAGGGGATAAAGTTCAAGGTAAACAGGCTAGCGAGTTCTTCACTTGCACTGAGAAGCTTAAGGAAGGAACACGAATGAAAAATCACACAGCACATAAAACATTAATTTCATCACAATTATCTGAACTCCAAAATCAAGAAACAATTACAAACAGCACAGTCAAATAGCAGCAGTTGTGCTTCTGCAGCATAGGATAGACATATTGCATACCAATTTCTATGTCATTCCAAGATTAAAATCCTACAAAGTTAAAAAATTCATAATTACTAGGACAACAAGAGAATACACAAAATAAAGAAAAACTCCAATATATAAAGAGCCACATTAACTTCTGCTTGATTATGGAATGTTCACCAAATACTTGCTTTATCCACAATGAATATTGTCATTTTAACAAAAGAACAGATATTTTTTTGAACAGGCAATGAGTAAAGTACCACCACAGACATCTTTCTACTCCAAAGAGTTTGAAAATCAAACTAAGCCCTGAGTTCTCCATGTTCTTCTTGTTTGCGTACCCCATAATTAGAGAGGCTGTGCCTCTGCAAATTTTTAAGTGAATGTAAACAACATATGCACACACAACATTTCTTAAGCACTACATAACCTATAAACATACCCTATAGCAACTACGATCTTCAATAAAATCTACATATAAGCTGCTTGATTGCTTCCATATTTTTCCATCAAATGACTATAGAAGACATCTGAACTGTTTAGGAAACAGTTTAACTCAGACTACCAAATGATTGCAACATGACTCCAATTAATTATAGAAGTCAGGCCCATCCTCCAGGGCAACAAACAACACATAAATAAGAATCTAAAAAATGCAGCCTTAGAACTTGGCACAATCGTAAAAAAAAAAGATCATAAATCTTGTGTCATCCAAACCGTAAACAAAATAAATTCAGTAGACATCATGCATCCTCTAGCATATCCTCAACCAACTTTTAAGCATGAAAGTACTAAATTAACAGAAGAATCAACTGACAATTAAGTATAACAATCTTCTCAGAGGATTAAAATTCATTGCTGAATCCCCCGAGTTTTAAGAAGGAAACCCATTAATTACCTACTTAGTTTACAAATTAAGACTAATTGAGAAAAAAATGCAAAACTCAATCATTATCATCACTATCTAAGTTCCACAAAAGCACCCAAATTTCCAAGAAATTTCACAGCCTAACACAATAAAAATATCAACAAAATAAAAAATAAAAAAACCGAATTCGGAAAAAAAAATACAAAAAAAAAAAACCAAAATAAAAAAGGCTAAAATTAAAATAAATACCAGCCTTAACAAGAGCATCCCATAACTCCTCAGGCAAAATGCAGCCATTATGCTCAACATCAATAGCTTGAAAAATCCTATACAACTCCATTTCCTTATCATCCATATACCTCCTAAACTCCTGATAATCAACCCTTCCATCACGATTTGCATCACAAACTTTCAACAAATCCTTCGCATATTTATACTCAGCAGGAATTTGGAGCCCCGATAACCCGGATTCAATCTGGGCATAATCTAAATACCCCAAATTTGCTGCATCAAAAAAATTGAATAAACTTCTAATTCTAACATCTCTCTCTTCTTTCGTTTCTCTCAATGCTAGTAATACATGATCTATGGATACTGGGCCTGGTTTTTTAACCGGATTGCAACAATCGGTTTGATTTGGGTTCCGGTTCGGTTTTTTCTCCATTTTTGGCAAGTTAACGTGGTGGCGATGGTGGCGCTCTACCGCGTTACCTGCCCCGGAAATGGTTTTGCATGTGTTGGAGATTGGATCAAAAAAAGATTTTTCTGTTTTTCTGGAAATTGTTTTTTTCCTACGGTTTGAATTTTTTGATCTATGCTACTATAATGAAATAAAATTAAATGAAACTGATTTTTTTTTTTTTTTTGGGGGGGGGGGGGGGTGGTGGGGGTTAAATGAAGGGTCAAATTGTAAAAATGGGAGAGAGAGGGGGAAGGGAAGTAGGGGATGGAGAGATTTCGATGTTGTGTCATGAATTATATGGTGGATTTTTCAGGCAAGAAAAAAGGTTGGAGGGAAAAAAATGGTTATAAATAAATATGGGAAAGTCTCATATTAGCCCTCCAAATGTATGTAGTTTCTTGATTGAGTTTCCATAACTATAGATTCTATCAATTAGTTCCTTCATTTATGTAACTTTCTTTAGTCGAATTCTTCTATTAAAATAATTAAATACGACAATGAACAATCCACATACTAATCATTTATTTTTTTAAATTGATTTTAATTTTTTAAAAATATTTGGTTTTGTCTTTCAACTTGTGTAATTGGTGTATATTTTTAATTCAAATGAAACTTAAAATTATTTTTTTATCGAAATATATTAGATATTAAGATCGTACAATGTCAAATGCTTTTTTAACAAATAAAATTACTTTACTTTTGTTTTGATTTTACGTAATTTTAAATTAAAAGAGACATAAAATTTGTGTTTAATAATGCTGTTGAAATTTAAAAATGTTTTTCTATTTAAAACACACCAGTCCAAATTATTTTATTATTTTATTTTTTACATAAATTACCATAAATTGAAAAAAAAAACCTGAAAAAAAAGAGGATCCACTATGGAAGAAAAAAAAGGCAAACATCACACCCACTATTAAAGGTTTCTCCAATTATTTTATTTTTTTCGCTTTCTGTCACAACTTACAACTAGTCCCCTTCTTCTGCAAGCTATCTCTAATTGTCCATTCGATTGAGGAAATGCAAATGTATATAGATAGTGGATTCAATTGATAAATCGGTAGTAAGGGGACTTCAATTGAGAATTGTTATATATTTTGGGGACTAATATAAGGTTTACGAACTAAAAACTTTCGTGAGGTTGAAATGGGCAGGGACAGTTATGGGGGAGGAGGGTATTGGCATAAAGGATAGGAAAGGTGATAAGTGGGGGATTGTGATTCGCACACTTCGCTAAAGTGACTAATTTAACCTTTATGAAATCTCAAATTTACGCTTATATGTTTAGAAAATGGGCAGTGGGTGTTTGTGTATTGTTGGTATCGAATCTGTGACCTCTAAAACCCCAACCCAGCTACAGAAGGATTCTTGTCACTTGTCGTGCGGATCACAACGCAAGGGGTGGGGGTGGGAATAACAATTCCCTTCTATGTGTGGACACTTTTTCCTTTTCTTTTTGGTGACTACTACGCTGTCGTTTCATTGAAACGAGATCGGACGAAAGTATTTAAATTTAATCAAATTTTAATTAATTAAATTAAAAATAAATGAGTGATAAATAGATAATAAATAATATAAAAACGAAACAATAATAATTTCGTTTATGATGTTTCGACAAATTTATTTCATCTCTGCGATATGACACGGGCCGAAGGACATCAAACTCCGGTCAAAAAGGGCCAAAAAAAAAAAAAACACAGTCAAAGTCAACATATCGGTCTAACCTAAGTTGATCATTTCAAAAGCCCACCAAATCACATTGCGGTTACTGTTCAAGATTGACTAGAAATATATCAATCAAGTCACTCTACACAAAGGCAGGGGTTTTTACTCATTCTAAGCAGACTCTTACAAGTTAGAAAATTTTTAATAAAAGCACTGGGATTGGATCGAACATAAAATGTCTAACTGTTTAAATAAATAATTTTAAATTTATATTTATATATATATAATTTTTTTAAATAACTATACTCCTATTCCATAAAAAAAAAAAAAAGCAAGAATTTAGTATGAATCTTTTGAATTTGGAATACTTTAAAAAAAAATTCAATAGAAAATTTAAAATACTTACTAGTCATTCATCAGCTCAACGTTACGAGTTGGATAAAAAAAAGTTATTTTAAAATTTTAAACTTTTTAATTATAATTTTTATTTAATTAATTTTTAATTTTTTTATAAATTTTCTGTTTAAAAAAAACATAATCATTCTTCTTTATAAATTGATATTAAAATAATCATTCTTTTTTATAAATTGATATTAAAATAAAAAAATGTAATGATTTTCATTAAAATATTAATCAAGAATTAAAAAAATTAAAAAATATAATTTTCATAATATTATATTCTAAAAAATAAAATTATAATTAATGTATAGATTTTTATAAAAAATAACAAATAAATTTTTTTTATTTAATATTGATGAGAAAATTAATTTTTTAAATTATCTTTGTAACATTACGGATAGATAGAAAAAAAATCATTTAAAAAATTTATAATTTTTCATTAATTTTTTTATTTAATTATTAATATATGTTTTTACAAGTTAAAAAAGTTTTAATATAATGGCAGAGGATTGGTTTAATTTTAAAATAAGGATATCTAATCGTTTAAATAAATAATTTAAATAAGTAATTTTAAATCTTTATATACGTAGAAATTTATTTAGATAGATGTAATCGTTTTATACGTGGGACAAAATAACAATAAATAAAAATTTAGAATACTTATGTTTTAAGTATTCGATGTAATAAACCATTATTTGAATAAAATAGCAAATCAAAAGATTTTGATGGCCATTAACATTATGCAAATGCCAAATATGGGCACTATAACAACCCTCTTGAGCACAATTGTAAAGTGAGAAAATGCCATTTCAAGTCCTAGTTATAACAATTTCATAATAAACTGTATTGGTTAAGGCAGGAGCTTTTGGATCAATCTAAATTCATGCACATCCATCCCAACCTACATAAGCACAGAGACAACTCATAGAAAGAGTACACAATTTACAACCTTCATTTAGGAACTGGCTTGTAGCCACCTTCTCTCCTTTTCTTTAGCCAAGAATATACAGCAATAGCAGTAGTCACTGCTAGTCCAATGAAAGCCACTACTGACCAACCATAAGCTGTTAATTTCATGTTTTCGTGAATCTGCAGGAACCAAGAAAAAATTAGAGGTTACACGTCTTTGACAGTACTAACTTTTTTTAGCGAGAATTCCTGCCCCGTATCGGTCAAACAATCCGCGTAAGAAATAGAAGTAATTCCTTTTCCAACTAGTCTTGGAATGGGCGTAATGGAAAAGAACAAGAAGAAAACAAATGGAGAAATTTGACCAAGGACTGAAAAAGAATCGCTAGTTGAAGACTGAAGAAAAACTTACCTGAACAGGAGCATGTGTGAGAGTCACATTTGGCGTCTGTTCTGCTATGTAAATGTAGAAAAGCCCCATGACTCCTATGTGCTTGTTAGTACTATTGTAGTTGGATTCCAGAGTCAGATTCTCCCCAGCTATTATCTTGACCGAGCCTGGTTCAGGATAACAGGTGGACATTCCTACAATGTAACCATCCTCATTTCCTGCCTCGTTTCCTTTTCCATAAATTGGTATTGAAGTGCATATAACACGCCCGTCCTGAAAGAAGATTATTTGAGCCAGATGTTGATCAGGGATGACTTGAAGTTAGCAATACATAATTCCCAAGAAAAAGATATTGCAGCGATAAACAGAAAGCATTCTAAGCTATGAGAAATGATTGTGCTTGTGACGGTTGGAGTGACAGACTGACAGAGTTGTAATCTTCATAATATCATCAAAAGAGGATAATAAAATGATTGTTCACTTCAATAACAGTTCTTCAGGATTTTCACTGGCCTACCAGATACGAAAGAGGGTAAAAAAGGTGCCACAGATGAGAACATGTTATGATAAATAGGTTGAAAATCACCTGTCCATACAGAGTTGAACCGATCCCACCAGCATGCTGGTGGGCGACAGCATAAATGACATAACCACCGGTTGGCATGGTGAGGCTATTTCTTTTGATGTCAATGCACGCTTGACTAGCTGGATCAGTAGCAGTGCAAGACTCAACTTCATACTCAATCTGCACCAAAATTATTCAAGTGATTTGCAGTGCAGTGAAATATATATATGACATCCTTGAAAAGAGAATCCTCAAATTTTTCCACCTCTAATTTGATTCCAGAACTCGTGACTTCAATGTTTAAGCTGTTTCTGCAGGTATTATTAAATTAATATAACACTAGATGTGGCAACCACTGAAATTTATCACCAAGCATCAACTGCAAATGCATTTCTCATGAATTTTCTCCAATGTAATTTATTTGTTCGAAAACAAATTCATAGAACCCACCTATTAGTTTTGTGATCTGGAGAAAATTATGTCTGTGCAGCATGTGTTTAAAGAGGGATTTCAAGTCATCTACATGTCTATTTTCTTTTCTCCTACACTTTGAAAACAAAGAAAAAAGGCAACTAAGACATTTTTCTCCTCACAGTGCAAACATGTTGGTGCTTAATAATAAGAGACAAGAAAGAAGTGCATTTACTTGGCAGCCATTCTCTGGACTAATTCCTGTTGATCCATGGAGCCTTTTTCCAGTATCAGTAACATCTAACACAAAGACTTTAACGGGAATGATGGAACTATCCCAATCAACCCATTTCACCATGTATCGCAGGTAGAAGCTCCTCCTGCCCCCTGAAAACCCTGTCTGACTTTGCACTGTGTCTGACCATAGCAACAAAGTAAACCTCCCTTGTATTCTGGCCTTATAGGGTTTCCATCTTCATCAATTGTGACATTGTACAGATCACACCAGCATTCAGTGCACCCCAACCTATCTTCCACACCCCGTGTATCGATTGCATGGACAGCAAGAAACCACTTCTCCTGATATCCTTCAGGAATTTCAGCAGGGTTGCCAGTTTCTATTCCAAAAGGATCTGGAATATGTGTAGCTGTTTTTCGTGTTTCAGATCCAAGGCCAAAATACTGTCCAAGAATTTGACCCTGGCATAATCCATTGTTTCGCGAAAAGTTACGGCCTGATGGGCGATGCTCATGGTACTTTCCCACAAGCCAGTGGTGAAAGTAAGTTTCATAAAGAGGTACAGAATTCCCAGCCTGATCAACTACTTCAGCATTAAAACTCTTGAGAGCAATATGACCTCTTGGGAAGTCAATATCATAGTATGTTTTGCTCGCAACTGATCCTGGCCCCAACACAAACTCGGTTGACAGAAAAGTTCTAGATTTGATCTTATTTCCAGTTTCCGGAAAAGCTTGTGTATAAGATATGTCCAAAGCCAGTATTAAAAATACCAACAGAATTATCATATTGCCTGCTTCAATGCCTCAGTTTAAAACCACATAATCTTGCACAAGGAATAGAGTACTGTAATGGGGACTATAAATACATGATGTCGTAAATGCTTTATTCTACCTCAGTTTTTTGCTCATCACCATACCTGTGATTTGAAGAAAGATGTTTGTTCAAAAAAATTATTCTGGTCAAAAGCTACCATACACAACAAAAACTCTACAGTTTCACAATTTTAAGGCCAAGCAACATGATCCAAATCTAGAAAATTATTGTAGTAAAATCTAACAAATCTAAGCAACTCCAGGTTTACTGAAAAAATAACTATAATAAAACTGACTCAAGTCAAATGCTTTCAGGTTCACAAAAAATGGACATGGAACCAGCAGTCAAAATAGGTTTCCTCACTAAATTTCTTTAACAGAGAGGCAAAAAAAAGCATAAACACAACCACCTTATGCTTCCTTTTTTCCTACTTCAATCAACACTAACAATAAGTGTAAGACTTCAATCGGTCACCTTACTTAGAACTTGAAAAACAGGAACATACCCGAATTCGAAAGTTCCTGCCACTTCGCAAGGTAAAAGTATGACTTTGATGATTTTGAACAACTTTGTTTCTGTTCTGTTCAGATATGTATGTATGCACAAAGTAAAGACATAGTCATTTAGTCTCTGTATTTTGGAGGCACAAAATAAAGAGAAAGTCAACTAGTCTCTCTACTTTCGAGAAACAAATTATTTAGTCCTTATCTTTTTAATTTTTCTTGTAAATTAATTATTTTCCTTTTTTCTCAATTTTTTTTTTAAGAAATACAAAAATGAATAGCATAAGTAAATATATATTTATATGAAAAGATGTTTTTTTTTAAATAAAGTAACATAAATTAATCGTAATCAACACTACTAACTGATTAAATAATTAATTTTAGAAATAAAAGAGACTAATTGACTCATTGTTTGAAAATAGAAGGACTAATTTATAATTTACTCAGGAAAGGTTGGGAAAAGTCCTGTTATGTCATTGAATTAGACCATCCAATAGGAATGAAGAATTTAGAAGTCAAATAAACCATACCAGCCAACGAGATCCTGTTTAGAGTGGAACCAATTGGACACAAGCTACAGCCTAAGCCATGACGTCCACTGCTGCGTGCATTCTTTTTTTATAAGAATACGGTCATAGTTTGCTCTTTTAACCAAGTCATCTTGATAAAGATTTCTTGAATTTATAACTTAATTACATCTTTTCTTTTGAATTTCATAGTAATCGACTTTGATATAGTAGGCAAAGTTTGTAGAGTTAGTAGAATAATTCTTTCTCAAAACCCTTTAAATAGTACAAAATGAACTGGTCAACAAATTATCATATCCGCTTCAAAGAGGAGATTGATCTGACTGTTTGATCTTATTTCTAGCTTCTAGAAAACCTTGTTTATAATTTATGTCAAAACCCAGTTTTAAGAAATACTTACAGAAGAACCATATGGCCTGTCTCTGTAAGTTTCAATAACGTCTCAGTTTAAAACCACATAATCTTGCACAAGGAATTGAGAACTGTTAGGGACAATCAATCCATGTTGTAAAAAGCTTTATTTTTCAGCAGTTTTTTGCCAATCACCATACATGTGATTGTAGAAAGAGCAATTTAAGAGGGGTTTGGATTATGATCATTGAAGAAAAAAGCAATCAATTATACAACCTGAAGATGTTTGCTCAGACTTTTTATTCTGGTCAACAGCCACCATGGGCAACAGAGTTAAACAACAAAAGTCTACAGTTACATAATTTTTGAAACCTGGCAAAATCTTAGCAAGTACTCCAGTTTACTAAAAGAGTAACTATAATTAAACTAACTTAAGTTTGTTGATGCATTCAAGTTCATAAAAATGGACGTCGAAGTTGGAACCAGCAGTCAAAAGAGGTTCTTTCATGACTAAATTGCTTATAAACAGAGAGGAAAAACACGAACACAATCACCTTATCTTTAGTTCTTGTGTTTTTAGGCCTACTTCAATCAAAACGAACTATAAATTAATGGAAGACTTCAATCTGCGTGTCATCTGAGTTATTACTGTAGAAACAGGAACATACCCGAATTCAATAGTTTCTGCCGCTTTGCAAGCAAAAGTAGAATTTTAATGATTTTGAACTACTTCGTTTCTCTTCTGTTCAGATAAGTTGATAAATACCAAGTAAATATGTCAAAAGTCTTGTGATGTCATTGAGTTAGGGCATTCATTATTAGCAATGAGGAATTTAACATTCAATGAAAAATAGCTACGGAAATACCATTTAGAATGAGTTTTGTTCATATTTAGAATAAGTTTATAACACCATTAGTTATAAACTGATGTGAAAATATCTTAATTCGTCTATTTCTGAATACAAAACAGGTGCCATATATGAGATTTTAATTGAAAAAAAAAAAAAAAGAAGCATATATAAACTTGATTGCACAAACTTTAGAAAGTAGGAACCAAAATGTTTTTATAAGACTTTTGAGGACCAAAATGTAAAAAAAAATATTAATTTTAAGGACCTAACTAATTTTTTAGAATGGAACCAATTGTATAGAACCTATGCCCTGGCGTCCACTGCTGCATTATTTTCCCCTTCTGGGATAGTGCCATAGACATAGTTTGCTCTTTTGATTAAGTTATCTTGATCACGGTTTCTTGAATTTATTAATTTTAATCTTTTCATTTTGAGAATTTTAGGAGTGATAAATTTTGATTGAGTAGGCAAGGCATGCAATGTTAGTTGAATTCTAACAGGACTATCTAGGTAATACAGAAGCGAACTTGTCAACTAATTACCTCATATCCATTTCAAAGAGGAAATTGATACGAGCATCCAAACCAGAGTACGTTCAGATGAAAACGTGTTTTAGATGTAGAACTAGTCGTTTGCCAGCTCCACAGTGCAGATTCGATAAAAAAAACAAAAATTATTTTAAAATTTTTTGTTATAATTTTTTATATAAATTTTCTGTTTAAAAAAAAACATAAATCATTCTTTTTATGGATTGATTTTAAAATAAAAAATATAATAATTTTAACTAAAATAGTAATCAAGAATTAAAAAAAAACTTTAAAAATATAATTTTTATAATATTGTATTCCAAAAAATAAATTTATAAAAAAACTAACAAATGAAAAAACAATTCTTATTTAATACTAATGAGAAGATTAGTTTTTAAAATTATCCATGAAATGCTACAGGTAGATAGGACAAAATCATCTAAAATTTTTATAATTTTTTCATTATTTTATATTTAATTATTACTTTTTTTTTTTGTGTGTTTTTCATAAATTTTTTTGCTTAAAAAAAATGACTTATTCTTCTTTGTGTAAGCATTCTTAAATAAAAACTTGTAATAATTTAAACATGAAATATTAATTAAGAATTCAAAAGCAAATACTTTAAAATTGTATATTTTTTTTAACAAAAATGCATCATAATTAATGTATAGACTTGCATTAAAATTAACTAATGAAAAAAAAATAATTTATTCTTATTTAATGTTGATCAGAAGATTATTTTTTTAAAATATATACATTAGATCTATATATGATTATTTACAAAATACTCAACAAAATTAGCTTAGAAAACTATATTTGAATAATTGGTTGGTTCCTTTAAAAAATATTATTTTAATTATTTTATTAAAAATAAGTTTGCTATATAATGTTAAAAAAAATATTCATAGAAATCATTTGTATTATGTTGAAAGATGTATTGTTAATTTTTAATAAAATCAACGATTCAATAGTTTTTTTATATGTCTTTGACCATACCTAGTGAACTGAGATAAATTATTTAAAATACATTTTTAACCTTTTATAATAAAATAATTATATATGTATATATGCGCAACTATCATTTAAAAATTTTTAAAATTCATGATATATATTATACTAATTTATTTTTTAAAAAAGAAAAAACAATCAAATTTTATTCTAAAATTTAAAAGTGGAGAAAAATAAATTATATTTATCGGTAAATAAAATCTTATATAAAAAATATTAATTCGATGAGAATTTTCATAAAAAAATGATAAATTCAAATAATGAAATTTAAATGATATAAGTAATATAAGCTAATGTATATGTTAATTTTAAAATATTAAAAGATAGTGTGTGTGTGTGGTGTGTGTGTGTGTGTGTGTGTGTGTGTGTGTGTGTGTGTGTGTTGTGTGAAAATGAAAAAAAAAATGAAAACTAAGGATTAAAAAAAAATGTTACAACATAAGGGATGAAAAATAGAAAAAAGTGTTAAATTTGCATATTAGTGTCCAAAAACACACAAAAAAACGACACAAAAATTACTTAAATTATTATCAAGTGAATAGTAATTTTATGCATATGAACTATCGACATCGGCCTAATAGGAGTGGGGAAAGGGGCCAAGATAAGGGAGTCGCCACCTAGCTAATCGGGGGGAACTAGGAAAACCCTAAATATACTAGTCTACATGGATATCTCGGATATGGGGTCGATTACGTATGGGGAAGACATGAAGTCACCACCATCCCGTCCTATCTAAGATAGGCTGCATTGTTTATCTATGAATATGAAAATATAGTTTTTATCATATTGTGCTTCTATGCCTATTTGTGTGAATTTATTTGATAAAATTTTAGGATGAGATGGTTCAAGTGGGAAACAGGATAGTTCGAGCATTCGAAGCCGATCCAAGGCCCATACGCTCAACCCAAATGGAAAAAAGGTAGAAAAATTAGAATTTCGACTAATCATTAGTGAACACGACCTATTATTGAAAAATAGGTGAGTTTCTAAAGGTAGATAGCCTTTTACTTGCACGAGCCGCAAGTTAACGACAACTTCACTCACACAAGTGAGAAGTCGCCGACGACTTCGAGTCATGAATATAAGAAGCTACCGACAACTTCGTCACAAAGGTGGGAAGCCACCGGCAACTTCATGTCGCTCAAGAGGAGCAAATGACTGTTTTAAAAAGTCGTTGGCGGCTTCTTCACATAAGTGGAAAGCTACCGGTGGCTTATATGCAAATAAATAAACAAAAATATTTTTGAGGCCCTCCAGCGACTTCGTCACATAAGTGGAAAGCTACCGGCGGCTTATATGTAAACAAATAAATAAAAAAATGTTTTTGAGGCCCTCCGGCAGCTTCGCCACATAAGTGAGAAGTTACCGACGACCTATATGTAAACAAATAAACAAAAATATTTTCGAGGCCCTTCGTACGCTTCGTCACATAAGTGGAAAGCTACCGTCGACCTATATGTAAACAAATAAACAAAAAAATGTTTTCGAGGCCCTCCGACGGCTTCGTCATATAAGTGGAAAGCAACCAGTAGTTTATTTTCAAACATGATGCACATAAAAAAAAAAACTAAAATAAAAATAAAAATAAAATAAGGTAAAAATAAAGATGGGAAACGAGATACAAAACATACAAAATGACTTTGAACACCATCAGCAACTTTAAAATTATATTGCACACCACAATCAATTAATCACCCATCGCAAAGCAAACACAAACCATGTTTTGAAAGTACAGTAGTTTTAGAATTTTTACCAAAAGATTATATGGTTTCGACATCTAGCTTAAAGTTAGTCTTACTCTCTTCGTTCTCGATGATAATCGATTATTCGATTAGCCGAAAAAGGAGAGCGACCGTTCATAGATAACGTGTGATGCGGATCTTATATGTTTCATGTCCAAAAAAATTAAATAAAAGTAGCAACCAAATCACAACACAAGATCTTTTTTTTTCTTTTTAAATTTTTTTCTTTTCGATAACACAAAACAAAAAAAAGGAAAATGTTCGGGGGTTGTTTTGAAAGAGATTTTTGCATCCGTTTAATGGATATTGTGGGGAGTTTATTGGGTAGTTTTAAAGCTTGTTTGGAGGTGTTTTTGGGGCTTCTTTAATGGTTTAAAGGGGCTGCTCGAAAGGATTGTTCTGTAAAGGTTTTTGAGGTCTGTTGGTGACGAGTTTCAAAGCTGATTTTATGGGCTTTTGCCGGACTTTTGGGGTCTCGTTTTGGGGTTGGTTTTGAGGTTTTTTTTTAGGGTATCTTAAAGCTTTCTTGGCGATGTTTTAGTAGCTGTTTTGGGTGAGAGAAAGGCCAGCCAAAAGGAAATACTAGCCAAAAGGGGTTGCTCTGTAAGGTTTTTTTTTTTAGGGTTGTTAGTAACAATTTCGAAGCCGATTTGGAAGGTTTTTGGTAAATTTTTGGGTTAATTTTGAGGCTGGTTTTGGGACTACTTTTGGGGGTGTTTTGGAGGGATCTTAAAGCTTTCTTGGTGATGCTTTAGTAGTTGTGTTTGGGTGAGGGAAAGGCCAGCCAAAAGGGGTTGCTCTGTAAGGTTTTTTAGGGTTGTCGGCAACGGTTTTAGAGCCGATTTGGGAGGATTTTGGTTGATTTTTTAGGTCTGTTTTAGGCTAATTTTGAGGCGTGAGAGAAGGATGCTACGTGGGGTTGTTTGTGGCATGAGAGAGGGTTGATATGGGGTCGTTTGTGGTGTGAGAGAGGCTCGGTGTCCGGAGGCTTTGAGGGTGCTAGCGATAGGTTGACGAGAAGGAGGCCGCTGCATGTAGGGTTGGTTGGTCGACGAGAGGGGGTTGTTGCGTGTGGGTTGGCTGGTAGAGTGAGGGGAGCGGACGAGAGGGGAGCCTGGTTGAGTGAGAGAGGGAGGCGAAAAGGAGGCTGGAAGCAGAGACTTTCAATTGGCGTGAGGGAGAAGTAGTTGGCGTGAGAGAGACTTACGACAGTTGGGTCTCCTTTTTTTTAAGGTGACAGTGAATAGTCCCCGTGATAAAAAAAAAGTATGGGGTTTTATATTGGTAGGGTTTTTTTGGCAAAAACCCACTTTGATCCTTGATTTTCTTCCATGCATTTATTTGGGTTCAATTAATTTTTTATGTTTTAATTTAGGCCTCCTCTTGCAAAAAATTGGGACTTTTATTTTAATTAGTTCCAATTGTATCCCTCCTCATTTTAATTAAAGGGTTCGAAACTTTGATTTTTTTCCTTTATGCCCTCAATTTTCCTTTTAATTGTTTCCAACCCTTTTTTTTTTCGATTAAACCCTTTTTTTCTAAACTAACTACTCTAATTCTCTTTTTTCTTTTTTCTCTTTTTCTCTTTTTATATTTTTGTTTTTATTTTTTATCTTTTGGTATTTTCATAATAATAAATAAATAACTAATAAATAAATAAATAAAAAGGAGCAAAAATTAGGTGCTAACATGAACAATGAGTAAATAGGAATTTTAGATATATGAATAATTTAGATTCTCACGCGACACTACGAACCAAACTAAACATATATTTTTCAATTTGATAATATATACTATGTTATCAGATCAATTAAAATATATTAAATTAAATATAAAAGATAAAATTTCATCTAGTTTTATAATTTTTAATCAATATATATGTATGTATGTGTGTGTGTGTGTGTGTGTGTGTTTTGAAATAAAAAAGATATGATTTGTTCTTTATTATGCATTTATTCTTAAATAAAGCCCATAATAAACAAATTTTAATATAAAAATTTTAAAAAACATCTTGATATTTGTTTTTCATTATATTGCATCGAAAAAATAAAGAAACAATTAATATAAAAAAACTTATATGAAAATTAACAAATGAAACTTTTTTACTAATGAGAAGATTATTTTTTAAAATATATATTTGATTTACATATATTTATTCACAAAATAATGAATAATATTAGTCTTAAAAATTGTATTTGAATTATTAAGCAATTATTCTAAAATATTATTTTAATTATTTTATTTGAAAAAATCATTTTAAATATGAAAAAATAATAGCAAATAGTTGATATTGTGTGTGCGGATGCATAATTAATTTCTAATAAAATCAATTACTCTAATATTATTATTTTTGATATATCATGATTGTACTCAATAGATAAAAATATACAAAATAAACTGAAGAATATTTTAAAACACTAAATGATAATATATATATTGAAGTTAATAAAGTGCAGTAAAAATTATAAAACTCGATTTCGATAAAATTTGATTATGTAAAAAAATAAGAAAATAAAATACATATATTCAATTTTTAAAATTTGATTATATAAAAATTAAGTAAATAAAAATTGATATTAAAAAAAATTATTCAAATCCATACATAGAAAAAATAAGTCATATTTATTAATAAATAAAATTATAAAAAAGAATAAAAATTAACTTGATGAGAATTTTTTTCAAAAAAATCAATTTTATACGAGTAAGAGTAGGTTATATTTATTCTAAAATCTAAAAACATATCGTATATATTATATAATCATCCGTTTATGTGAAAAAAATAACGATTGATTTTTCAAAATTTTAACACCTAATTAAATAAAAAAAGAACTTAAATTGATGAAAAAAAGTAAAGGAAAAAAAAGGCATAAATAGTATTATATAATCGTTAGCTTGTGTAGAAAAAAGTAATGATGGATTTTTTCAAATTTTAACACCTACTTAAATGAAAAAGAACATAAATTGATGAAAAAAGGAAAGGAAAAAAAGAAAAGAAAAAACATAAGTAGTGCATCGGATAGAGAATTAAAATTTTTATTTTAAAATTTTAGAGACGAAAATGAAATAACTTGATAATTTAAAAAAAGAATAAAAAAAGAACCTAAGAGATCAAAACGAAACAATCTAAAAATTAAAAAATAAAAAATAAAAAAGAACCTAACTTGATGTTAAAAAAAAAAAAAAAAGACATGTATTCACAATAACTTAGAAAAAAAAATTGAACAGAGAGAGAGGTGAACTTCAAACAGAAGAAAAAAAGAAAAACTGAGCAGTAAAAAAAAGAGAGAGAGGCGAAAAACAAAAGATGCAAACAGTATATAAATGCTTATTCTGGGAGCCAACCCGTGTATTGGCTTGAAAGGCAAGTATGCTAACCGGTGGTCTACAGACGGTTTCTTGTGCTTCAATCACAATATATATATATATATATATAAAGGCGAGCAGGATTGTGAACTGTCAGAACCCACGTGTTTTAGATATATAGTAATAATAATATTTGCACTGTAGTTTTTTAACATATTTACGGGATCAATGAAGATTTTTGGACATCATTTGCTACATTTGTATTGATTTTTATCATTACGTCCTGATAAATATTCGCATGTCGTTTGAAAAGTGGGAAAAAGACATTGAATTATGGAGTTAGAAACTCAACAGAATATACAAGGAAAGTTCAGACTTCAGAGAACCAGACGTATCTTCTTCATCTTGCCTAGTTCTGTTCACTCTCTTCCAGCCCCATCCAATGCACAAAATGAACCCTTATTATATTAGACTTAACCTAACATTCGGCAAAATCTTGAAAGATAACTAGCTTCAATATTCATAAACGACTCCCAATTGATATTTTTGTAATTACACGGAGAAAAAGTTATCTATCCATATGGCTGCAGCACAGAAGATAATATGTAGGATTGATAGAGATCAAAACATTACTATACTCTTCTCTACCCTTCTTTAGCCCAGAATGTACAGTGACAGAAACAGCTATTGCCAGTCCGATCAAAGCTATTATTGCCAATGCATATGTGAATCTTTCATATTTTCAAGCATCTGTAAGAACCAAGAAAAATAATGGTAAAAGTTGTCAACAATCCAATATGTTAGTAACATTGTTTGTAAATTCTTCTTTATATTCCCATTTCGATTACCAGAATTCTCTTTAGCTACAAAATGTCATTTATCTTCTGCTATAAAAATGTTTCTACACTATCTAATCCTTTATCTTCGATCATAAAAGGTTTTTCAAATTCCAGCACAAGTTTCTTTTTAATATCTAAAACATGGTTGCAAGGATCCCTCCAACTGAGATATGAACATGTGACTCTATGCACACATATGCAGAGCGCACACATGTAAGTTTAAATGGTCACCACAATATTGAACAAACTTACACGAACGGGAGCTTGTAACAAACTTGTGGGGTTTAGTGTTCGGTCAGCAACCAAAATGTAGAAATTCCCCATGATTCCTGTGTGCTTTTGATCTCTTCTGTAGTTGGATTCCAAAACTAGCTTCTCCCCAGCTGTTATCCGGATAGAGCCTGGTTCAGGATAGCACGTAGACATTCCTACAACGTAACCTGCCTCATTTCCTGCCTCCTTTCCTTCTCCATAATTTGGTAGCGAACGACATATAACATGTCCATCCTGAAGTAACCGCCAAGCATATGATTAGAATAGGATGTTAATTCACCATCGACTTAAACGGTAATAACATAAACACTGTACGATATAATCAAGGATAGAAACAGGGGCGTGTGTGAAACAGAAAGCAGAACTTTGACAACAATTTTGGACAGTAACATTGTACGGTACCATTGGACATGCTAAAAGCCACACACAACGCTTAACTGGAGACTGGAAGGTGAAACTGGCTGTATTCTGGGACCAAGATATATGTTGGGTTGACAAATTATTATCGCAGGCCATTAGAAGTGATCCTTTTCTGTTCCTAAGGGCATAACAGCAACTTCTTGGGCAAGATGTAAAGTTACAAGCTCTTTACAAGACCCAATTAGCACGTAAAGTGAAACACTGAGCCAGAGGCGATGAGAGTCACTGGCAATCTATGTGGTTGGCCTGGTCAGTCTCCAGAGAAGAAACGATCACAGTTTTTACACTTTTAGGTTGATTCACACATCTGAAAGTGTTCTAAAATTTATGCAGAGTCCAACGGTGCTAATTAAAAGGATGATGACATAGCAAGCAAAAAGGAGGAAAAGAAAGATCCCAAATCAAGATGAGAGGATTTAACAACAAACTGGAAATTTGAGTTTGGAAGTCACCTTCCCATACAGAGTTGAACCAATCCCTCCAGCATGCTGGTGGGCAACACCGTAGATGACATAACCAGCAGATGGCATGGTGAGGCTTGTCCTTTTGACATCAATACATCCATGAACAGAAGCATCAGTGGAGCTGCAATACTCAATGTCATACTCAACCTGCAGTAAAAACAATTATAGCGATTCCCAAAGATACAGAAGTATGTGGCCTTGTTGGGAAAAAATAAAAAAGAGAACAGTTTCCTTTGGAATCACCCTTTTGTTTTCCGAAACTCATGAAACTTGTGTACAGAAATGTTCAATTCATATGTGTTCAATCCAATTCTGTAAAAGTAAATCTGACAATAGATTCAGAAAATACAACTTTTTTATCAAAACGCAAAACAAATGCTAGAGCATCATCACAAAAGTTGTGTATACAACTATGAAGAGCGACACAGAATCCAAGACTTCATACCTCACACTGAGGCTGCTTTGAGTATGCAAAATATATACTCTCAAAAGGGTAGGCCAGTTTTGCATGCTCGTATACGTGCTTATGACTGGGGTTTCGCTTTGAGAGTGTACATTGTCTTTGTATATATCGATTTGTATCTATGTACATATATCAGGAACTTCACTCTAGTGCAATTAATTTACTGAATGCAGAAGTGACACTGCTCTATAGCAACGGTACCCTACTGGAGGAGTTCTAAGACCAATGGATATCCTATCAGTTTATCATACTCTGCTGTGAGTTTAAAGAGAATTCAACCCTTTATTAAGTCTATTTTCCCACTGTAATGCTTTTCTCAAACAAGAAAAAGAGATAGTTAGAGATATAGAAACTTGTGTAGTCTAGGTGTTCCCTAAAAGCATCTCCAACGGTGCTCTCTACTTTTAGCTAGTATTTTTAATGTAAATAGAGAGTACTATTAATTATATAGATTGAAGATCAATATTATCTCCAATGCTACTCTCTACTTTAACTTTTTATTTTGACAAAATACATAAAATCCAGAGAGACTATTGGTGAAGAGGCTGAGTGGCATAAGAAATAGTAATTTTCAATAAAGAGTCATTTGAACTCTCTAATATTGGAGAGTCAAAGACATTCTGTATCTTAATTTTAAAAATAGAAATTGTGATAAAAAGAGCATTGGAGATGAAATTTGAGCCAAACCTCTTTATTATAAAGAAAAATCTTAATATAAAGAGAGCATTGGAGATGCTCTAATAGCTTAATCCTGGTTGCCTTAAAAATTAGGGAGCATGAATAGCTGATTCAACAAAACGTAAATCCGGATTCAATTTTCATGTAATGTTAAAACAGCAAGTACAGAAGTACTTTACCTGGCAACCATTCTCTGGACCAATTCCTGTTGAACCATTTAGCCTTTTCCCAGTATCAGTGACATCAAATACAAAGATTTTAACAGGAATAATGTCACGATCCCACTCAACCCATTGCATCGTATATCGCAGGTAGAGACTTCTCCTGGTACCCTGGAAACCTTGTTTGACCTTGCATTGTGTATGGTCATAGCAACAAAATAAGCCTCCTTTATAGTCTGGCTTCAAAGGGTGTCCCGATTCACTAACTGTAACGTTATACAGATCACACCTACATTCAGTGCATCCCAACCTATCTTCGGCACCCCGTTTATCGATTGCATTGACATTAAGCAACCATCTCTCGTCGTACCCAGCAGGAATTTCAGCTGGATTGCCAATTTCTATTGCATAAGGATCAGGAATATGCGTGGCTGTTTTTCGTGTTTCAGATCCAAGGCCAAAATACTGCTTAAGAACACCTCTCTGGCATATTCCACTGTTACCTGCAGAAATGCGATCTGACTCCTTAAACTTCTGCTCATGATTATTCTCAACCACATCTAGACGTTGATAGTATCTCTCGACAAACCAGTGGTGAAGATAAGTTTCATGAAGAGGGACAGGATTCCCAGCATCATCAATCACTTCAGCACTGAAACTCTTGATACCAATATGACCTTTTGGGAATTCAATATTGTAATAGAATCTATTCACCACTGATCCTGGTCCCAACACAAACTTCGGTGATAGGAAAGTGGCAGATTTGATCTTTTTACCACCTTTCGTAGAAGCTCGTGTATGAAGTACATTAGATGCCAGTATTAGTATTGCTAACAAAAGCAAGCCGCCCCGAGAACAGTATGCCATATTTCCTGTCAGTTTCCAGTATCTAAACTATATATCTTTCACAAAACGAAGCACAGTATAATTGAATAGAAACCAAACATATAGACTACGAAGCACAAGAACAACGAGACAATAAACTGAAATTTACTAGCAAACTGCAACATATGGTGATGAAAGTTTTTGAGTTTTTTAACCTGATCTTCTCAAATGCTTATTTGCTAATCAGCTGCTAGAATTAATCAAACAATTTTATGTATCTCATGCCAAATTCAAGATGGAGATGAAAAATTAGTGCTTTATACAAGTTGATTTGACTGAGAGAGAAATTGGCACCGGGGAAGTGCTGTACCAAGAATCCAATAATTTTGGATAAGAACAATTAATCCTCCATGCACATAAACAAAGGATTGTCACAAAAGTGTCCTAATCGTCCGCAGACCAACAAGACTGTCACTGAGATTAATCCCTCCCTAATCAATTCATGACAAAGGTGCTTTTTCAAAAGTTTTGATCAAATCACCCACCACATGGATTCTCAAAAATATAAACAGATAGAACTCTGGAGAATAAGTCCTCATGGACCAGCATGATAACAGCTAAGGAGGAGATTACACAGTAAAAGCACATTCAATTTATGCTATGATTACTATGCTTTCATTTGATTCGTCCACAATTTTTTTAAAAAGAAGTCCCTAGTTTGTTATTGACAATTTCTGAGAAGAAAAAAATGTCTTAAATGAGCACACAATCATATCCACACATGTTTCCATAGATGGCTAACATTTACTCGGAAAACTGTATGTACCAAATGAGTAAACGAAAAGAAGATGTTGCTAATATTCAAATCATATTCATTGATAAAATGTTTTAGACGAAAAAGAAATTATAATTGTCAAACATGTTTTCCGCTAAATTTACAAAAGGAGAAAAAAACTACTCCCTGGCGAAAGTTGAATAAACACAAAAAAGAAAAAAAAAAAAAAAAAGGGGGTCATATGTTTATACATCATTAAACAGAAAAACAGACAGAAAAGAGCATACCCAGATACCAAAAGTCACCTACCAGTATTGTACTGCCACTAGTTTGAACTTTATTCAGTTCCCTGCCTTTTTGAATTTATACACCAGAAAGAAAATATTCTTTGTTTCTGTTTTCTGAGTAAGTGGCAAAGAATGGATAGTGATGATGTCAAAAAAAGCTGGAGCATTAATCATCGATATATAATAATTGTTGCACTGGATTCTGGTCAAATGGGAAGGGAAGGATAGGATAGCGTAAGCCATGACGTCCACCATGGCATTCCTTTCTTGTTTTTGGTTTCGCTCAAAATTTATTTTTCACTTTCAAAATTTTGAGTAAGTTATTTTATTTTATTTTATTCTTAATTCTCAATCTTTTGAAATTGGCTCAATAACTTTATAAAAGATAAAGTAATCATTGACTCGCAATAATGAAAAAAAATATCATATCAAATAATTCAACCTAGTACGTACTTTACATCATCTTCTTGTCGAATCAAATAACTATAAGTCACATAAACACCTCCAATTTGTTTGGACCACCACCAGCGCCAAGTGTTGCAGTAGGGCTATCTTTGTTCTCACATTTTATCTTTGGCAATTCAAGAATGTGTGGACCAAGTTCCACCATGACACGTCAAGGAAAGCAACAAGATAAACCCTTTGGACGTTCTCCATCATTGGAACAAGACAGACAACCTATTAACTTCTATCTGATTGAACGTTCTCCGTTATTGGAACAGGACAGACAACCTGTTAACTTCTATCTGATTCAAGTACATTTGTATTTTTGTATTGTGATTGAAATATTAATGTAAAATTTAAATTTTTGAATCTATAATTTTTTATACAAGTAAAAATAATAATTAAAAAAATAGTTTTGTCAAACTATAATTCTCGTGTATGTAAGAAAATCAACCAAGGAAGTTATTTTACCTGGCAACCATTCTCTGGACTTAATCGTGCTGAAGCATTAAGCCTTTTCCCAGTATCAGTGACATCAAGTATAATGATTTTAACAGGAATAATGCCAAAATCCCAATCAACCCATTCCACCGTGTATCGCAGGTATAGACTCCTCCTGGCACTCCCATAACCTTTTCGTACCTTGCAATGAGTTTGGTCATAGCAACAACTTAGACCCCTCTGTAGTCTGGCCTCAAAGGTTGGCCATATTCATCCACTGTGATGTATCAAAGATCATGTCTGCAACGAAAAACACAAACACAAACACAATCGCCTTATCGTTAGTTCTTGTGTTTGTTGGCCTACTTCAATCAAAACGAACTATAAATTAATTAATGGAAGAATTCAATCTGCATGCCATCAGAGTTATTACTTTAGAAACAGGAACATACCCGAATTCAATAGTTTCTGCCACTTTGCAAGCAAAAGTAGAATTCTAATGATTTTGAACTACTTCGTTTCTCTTCTGTTCATATAAGTTCATAAGCACCAAGTAACTATGTAAAAAGTCCTGTGATGTCATTGAGTTAGGGCATCCATTATTAGAATGAGTTTCGTTCATATTTATACCCTCTATTCTTCAAATTATTTTGATTGAGATTTTGTATTATTTTTTGTATTGATTGAAGCTCTCTATTCTTCATTTTGTTTTATTTGAGATTTTGTATTATTTTTTATATTGATTGAAACCAACGACTCTTCATTTTATCTTATTTGAAACTTTCGGTTATAACATCATTTGTCATAAGCCGACATGATGATATCTTAGCACGTCTATTTTTTAATACAAAACACAAGTCACAAATGATATTTTAATTTAAAAAAAAAAAAAAAAAAAACATGTATAAACTTGATTGCACAAACTTTAGAAAGTAGGAACCAAAATGTTTTTATAAAAATTTGAGGACCAAATTGTAAAAAATATTAATTTTAAGGACCTAACTAATTTTTTTAGCATGGAACCAATTGTATAGAACCTATGCCCTGGCGTCCACTGCTGCATTATTTTCCCCTTCTGCGATAGTGCCATAGACATAGTTTGCTCTTTTGATTAAGCTATCTTGATCAAGATTTCTTGAATTTATTAACTTTAATCTTTTCATTTTGAGAATTTTAGGAGTGACAAATTTTGATTGAGCAGGCAAGGCATACAATGTTAGCTGAATTCTATCCCAGGAGGGCCAGGACCATTTAGGTAATACAGAAGCGAACTGGTCAACTAATTACCTCATATCCATTTCAAAGAGGAAATTGATACGAGTACTCAAACCGGAGTATGTGCAGATGAAAGCATGTTTTAGATGTGGAATATTTGCACTGCTGTTTTTTAACATAATTAAGGGATTTTTGGACATCATTTGCTACATTTGCATTGATTGTTATCGTTAAGTCCTGATAAATATTAGCATGTCACTTGAAAAGTAGGAAAAAGACATTGAATAATGGAGTTAGGAACTTAACAGAATAGGCGGGGAAACTTCAGACTTCCGCAAAACAAAAGGTATCTTCTTGATCTTCCCTGGTTCTGTTCACTCTCTGCCAGTCCCATCCAATGCACAAAATGAACCCTTGGTATATTAGACTTAACCTAACATCCGGCTGAATCTTGAAAAATAACTAGCTTCAATATTCATAAACTACTTCCAATTGATTATTTTGTGTAATTATAAGGAGAAAAAGTTATGGATCCATATGACTGGAGTACAGAAGATAATATGTAGGATTGATAGAGATCAAAACATTACTATACGTAGTTCACGGTTTGATGTATAAGCAAAACTAGACAAGGAGATCCATGACATTGATCATACAAACACGATTCCAACTCTACGCCAGAATTGGCCGGTAGCCTTCTTCTCTCCCCTTCTTTAGCCGAGAATGTACAGTGACAGCAACAGCTATTGCCAGTCCGAACAAAGCTATTATTGCCAATGCATATGTGGATCCTTTCATGTTTTCCAGCATCTGTAAGAACCGAGAAAAATAATGGTAAAAGTTGTCAACAATCCAAAATGTTAGTAACATTGTTTGTAAATTCTCCTTTATATTCCCATTTCAATTACCAGAATTTTCTTTAGCTATAAAATGTCATTTATCTTCTGCTATATACACGTTTCTACACTATTTAACCCTTTATCTTCGATCATAAAAGGTTTTTCAAATTCCAGCACAAGTTTCTTTTTAATATCTAAAACATGGTTGCAAGGATCCCTCCAACTGAGATATGAACATGTGACTCTATGCACACATATGCAGAGTGCACACACGTAAGTTTAAATGGTCACCACAATATTGAACAAACTTACATGAATGGGAGCTTGTAACAAACTTGTGGGGTTTGGTGTTTGGTCTGCAACCAAAATGTAGAAAAGCCCCATAACTCCTGTGTGCTTTTGATCTCTGCTGTAGTTGGATTCCAAAACTAGCTTCTCCCCGGCTGCTATCTGGATAGAGCCTGGTTCAGGATAGCATGTAGACATTCCTACAATGTAACCCGCCTCATTTCCTGCCTCCTTTCCTTCTCCATAATTTGGTAATGAACTACATATAACACGTCCATCCTGAAGTCACCGCCCAGCATATGATTAGAATAGGATGTTAATTCACCACCAACTTAAACAGTAATCACATAAACACTGTACGACATAATCAAGGATAGAAACAGGGGTGTGTGTGTGAAACAGAAAGCAGAACTTTGACAACAATTTCGGACAGTAACAGATTGTGACACTACATTGTACGGTACCATTAGACATGATAAAAGCCACACACAACGCTTAAATGGAGACTGGAAGGTGAAACTGGTTGTATTCTGGGACCAAGATATATATTGGGTTGACAACTTATTATCGCAGACCATCAGAAGTGATCCTTTTCTGTTCCTAAGGGCATAACAGCAACTTCATGGGCAAGATGTGAAGTTACAAGCTCTTTACAAGACCCAATTAGCACGTAAAGTGAAACACTGAGCCAGAGGCGATTAGAGTTGCTGGCAATTTATGTGGTTGGCCTGGCAGTCTCCAAAGGACCTTACTTCATAGTACATACTAGAAGTTAGAGAAGAAACGATCACAGTTTTAAATTTTTAGGTTGATTCACACATCTGAATGTATTCTACAATTTATGTAAAGTTCAATGGCGCTAGTTAAAAGGATGATGACATAGCAAGCAAAAAGGAGGAAAAGAAAGATCCCAAATCAAGATGAGAGGATGTCACAACAAACTGGAAATTTGAGTTTGGAAGTCACCTTCCCATACAGAGTTGAACCAATCCCTCCAGTATGCTGGTGGGCAACACCGTAGATGACATAACCAGCAGATGGCATGGTGAGGCTTGTCCTTTTGACATCAATACATCCATGAACAGAAGCATCAGTGGAGCTGCAAGACTCAATTTCATACTCAATCTGCAGTAAAAACAGTTTTAGTGATTCCCAAAGATACAGAAGTATGTGGTCCAGCTGGGGGCAAAAAAAAAAAGAAGGTTCCTTTGAAACCACCCTTTTGTTTTTCGAAACTCATGAATTCAATTCGTACGTGTTCAATCCAATTCTGTGAAAGTAATCTGACAATAGATTCAGAAAATACAACTTTTTCATCACAAAATTTGTGTATACAACTATGAAGAGCAACACAGAATCCAAGACTTCATACCTCACACTGAGACTGCTGAGTATGCAAAATATATACTCACAAAAGGGTAGGCCAGTTTTGCATGCTGGTATACATGCTTATGACCGTGGAAGGGCTTCGAAAGTGTATATTGTCTTTGTATATATAGATTTGTATCTACTTACATATATCAGGAACTTAACTCTAGTGAAATTAATTTAGTGAATGCAGATGTGACACTGCACTATAGCATCGGTACCCTACTGGAGGAATTCTAAGAACAATAGATATCCTATCAGTTTATCGTACTCTGCTGTAAGTTTAAAGAGAATTCAACCCATTATTAAGTCTATTTTCCCACTGTAATGCTTTTCTCAAACAAGAAAAAGAGATAGTAATATAGAACCTTGTGTTGTCAAGGTGTTCCCTTATAGCTTAATACTGGTGTTCTAAAAATTAGGGAGCATGAATAGCTGATTCAACAAAACGTAAATGCCTGATTCAATTTTCATGTCATGTTAAAACAACAGGTACAGAAGTACTTTACCTGGCAACCATTCTCTGGACCAAATCCTGTTGAACCATTTAGCCTTTTCCCAGTATCAGTGACATCAAATATAAAGATTTTAACAGGAATAATGTCACGATCCCACTCAACCCATTCCATCGTATATCGCAGGTAGAGACTTCTCCTGGTACCCTGGAAACCTTGTTTGACCTTGCATTGTGTATGGTCATAGCAACAAAATAAGCCTCCTTTATAGTCTGGCCTCAAAGGGTGTCCCGATTCACTAACTGTAATGTTATACAGATCACACCTACATTCAGTGCATCCCAACCTATCTTCAGCACCCCGTGTATCGATTGCATGGACATTAAGCAACCATCTCTCCTCATACCCAGCAGGAATTTCAGCTGGATTGCCAATTTCTATTGCATAAGGATCAGGAATATGCGTGGCTGTTTTTCGTGTTTCAGATCCAAGGCCAAAATACTGATTCAGAATACCTCTCTGACATATTCCACTGTTACCTGCAGAAATGCGATCTGCCTCCTTAAACTTCTGCTCATGGTTATTCTCAACCACATCTAGCCGTTGATAGTATCTCACGACAAGCCAGTGGTGAAGATAAGTTTCATGAAGAGGGACAGGATTCCCAGCATCATCAATCACTTCAGCATTGAAATTCTTGATACCAATATGACCTTTTGGGAATTCAATATTGTGATAGAATCTATTCTCCACTGACCCTGGTCCCAACACAAACTTCGGTGATAGGAAAGTGGCAGATTTGATCTTATTACCACGTTTCACAGAAGCTCGTGTATGAGGTACATTAGATGCCAGAATTAGTATTGCTAACAAAAGCAAGCTGCCCCGAGAACAACGTGCCATATTGCCTGTCAGTTTCCAATATCTCAAGTTAAACTATAAATCTTTCACGAAACAAAGCACAGTATAATTCAATAGACTACGAAGCACAAGAACAACGAGACAATAAACTGAAATTTACTAGCAAACTGCAACATATGGTGATGAAAGTTTCAAGTTTTTTAACCTTATCTTCTCAATTGCTTATTTGCTGCACGATTTGAATCGTATCTATGCTGCTAGATTGATCAAACAATTTTTTTTATGTATCTAGTGCCAAATTCAAGATAGAGATGAAAAATTGGTGCTTTATACAAGTTGATTTGACTGGGAAAGAACTTGGCACTGGGGAAGTGCTGTACTAAGAATCCAATAATTTTGGATAAGAACAATTAATCCTCCATGCACATAAACAAACGATTGTTACAAAAGTGTCCTAATCGTCCGCAAACCAACAAGATTGTCACTGAGATTAATCCCTCCCTAATCAATTCATGAGAAAGGTGTTTGTTCAAAAGTTTTGATCAAATCACCCACCACATGGATTCTCAAAAATATAAACAGATAGAACTCTGGAGAATAAATCCTCATGGACCAGCATGATAACAGCTAAGGAGGAGATTACACAGTAAAAGCACATTCAATTTATGCTATGATTATTATGCTTTCATTTGATTCGTCCACAATTTTTATAAAAAGATTGCCCTAATTTGTGATCGATAATTTCTGAAAAGAAAAAAAACGTCTTAAATGAGCACACAATCATATCCACACATGTTTCCACAGATGGCTAACATTTACTCGGAAAACTTTATGTACCAAATGAGTAAACGAAAAGAAGCTGTTGTCGATATTCAAACCATATTCATTGATAAAATGTTTTAGACAAAAAAAGAAATTAAAATTTTCAAACATGTTTTCCGCTAAATTTACAAAAGAAAAAAAAGACTACTCCCTGGCGAAAATTGAATAAATACAAAAAAGGGGTCATATGTTTATACATCATTAAACAGAAAAACAGACAGAAAAGAGCATACCCAGATACCAAAAGTCACTTACCAGTATTGTACTGCCACTAGTTTGAACTTTATTCAGTTCCCTGCCCTTTTGAATTTATACACCAGAAAGAAAATATTCTTTGTTTCTGTTTTCTGAGTAAGTAGCAAGGAATGGATAGTGATGATGTCAAAACAAGCAGGAACATTAACCATCGATATAAAATAACTGTTGCACTGGATTCTGGTCAAATGGGAAGGGAAGGATAGGATAGCGTAAGCCATGACGTCCACCATGGCATTCCTTTCTTGTTTTTGGTTTCGCTCAAAATTTATTTTCCGCTTTCAAAATTTTGAGTAAGTTATTTTATTTTTATTTTATTCTTAATTCTCAATCTTTTGAAATTGGCTCAATAACTTTATAAAAGATAAAGTAATCCTTGACTCACAATAATGGGAAAAAAAGGGCCAAAAAAGTTTTTCGCTGTTTATATGTAATGTTACCTATTTTTCCTAGCATTCTTAAATTTGTGTAGGGTGATATTTCATCATTAAAAAGAAATATTTCGTATTTTTAACAAGAAACAAATAAAAAAAGAATTGAAAATAAGCTTGCCAATATCATATAGCATCAGTTATTTTATTAAGGAATTTGTGTTGAGTATTGGTCGATTATTAAGAATAAGAGTTTCGAAATAGAAGTGCAAGAATTAAAATGAAAATTAAGGAATCGGATCAGCATTTGTATTCGATATTATGTTTGAAATACTAATAAATAATTTGAATAAAATTTAAATTTTTTAATATCTAATTTTTTATATAAATAAAAATAATAATTAAAAAAATGATTTTATCAAACTTTAATAGTTGTAAGAATAATTGAGATAATAATAGTAATGATAGATCTAGTAGTGATGTTTGTGATAGTTGTAGTGATAGAAATAATTAATACATAATAAATAAATAAAATATATTATTATTTTGAAAAAAAAATCATTCACATTTCTTATTTTTAAAAATAAAATTTATAATACAAGGAATAACTATTATACAATAGTTACTCATTGAATATTATAAAATTTCTTTTTTAAAATGAAAATGAAATTATGTGTAATGATCACTCTTCATCCTCATTCTTCATTTCTTTCAACTAAATAACTATAAAATAAGAATTAAATTTTTATTTTTATTCTCACTACTCTATTATTAGTGCCTAAACAACACCTAAGAGTTCGGAGAGTCGTCTAAAATATTTTAGGTTTAAAAAATTTATTAAAAAATGGTATTTGTATTTCATGTATGTCAGATTTTATTGAGGATCGACAGTTCTCAAATATTTATATGCACAAAGACAAAAATTAAGAGTTTTTTGTTATTATTTATTTGGCTTTACTTAAATACTTTTTATCTCATATTAGAGATAGAATAATTTTATTCGAAATCAAAATCATAAAATTTAATTTTTTTTCTAAAAAATATAATTATACAAGATTAGCTTTATTGGAAAACTAACTTGTTGGTATATTGGGTTATCATTTGATTAATTTTGATAATGGGAACTCTAAGAAAAGGAAATGATATTCGGGAAGGTTCTTAGAAATTAAAATTGACCTTTAATTTGGAAACTTTCGTGGAGTTATAGCATTGGTGATATACCAAAGGTTTTGGCTTTGGAGAAATAAATGTTTGATTTGTAGTGAGTCATTTCGTATCAGAAACAGAACACGACAACGGATGTGATAGGAACACGACAACCAACCAAAGTCGGATGCGGGTTTGAATTGATGACAAAAAACGCAACTATGATTCTAGAAGACGCATGGCCAAACCCTTCCAACTTCAAAACGACAATGACAACATCAACGGTGCATTCCCACCTGTTATTCTTAAAATACTCTATAATCATCACTCAATTTTCTATTCTTCTAAGTTCTTTTTTTTTTTTTCAAATTTTAAGTCTAAATAGATGTTTGAACTTCTTCTGAAAAACATTTTTCTGCTGATCATTATACCTATAATATACATCCTAATATCCTATACCGTACATCTTATTTTTATTTTTTTACAATTTATTCTTTTAACAAACAAACAATTTTACTTCTAAATTGAATTTTAAACTCGTATTATTTCACAAACTTTCTTAACCTAGATACAGCCAAATATATATATATATATATATATATATATATATATATATATATATATATAATTGATGGTAATCATTAAACCAGAATAATAATATAGAAACATATTAAACCAAATTGATATAGTATAGAAATAATTTTATATTTTGACTCAAATTTGTTTTAATCAGACGTTAAATTTAAGAAACCCAGCATTAATTGAGTCCAATTAAAAAAAAAAAGTGAAATAAAAAATAAAAAATAGAGAAATAATAACTCGTGCAAAAAAAATTATATATATATAAAAAAAAGAGTCAAAAAGATATATACGAATAAATAACTTTAAAATCTCAATTCATCTTTCACTTTTTTACAAAAGTTTTTGTAAAATATATTTATACATTATTCTAAATTTCAAAATTAATTTCAACACTCCCAATCATAATTCTTGAAATTTGAAAAAATATGTGTTGTTGATGCTTGGAGAATGTTTCTTGGATGTTTTCATAGCCATTAATCCTTATTATCATAGCTAACTAATGGCATTTTATCGTCGTCTCTTCAATCTTCTCTTCTCTTTTGCAGCAATTGTATTTGCTCAAGTATGATGGCTACTCTTAGCCATCTTTTCTTGTCTTCTAGCCGCATTTCTTTCGCCAAACATCTCTTTGTCAACGTTTGACTCTTCAAATGGCCATTTTATTCAGCTCGCTCTTCATCTACGCTGCCTTGTTTGTTTTTTTTTTTTCCAAACCTCATTCTTCATCCTCTTTCTTGGGTCTAATGTCCATTTGTTTTTGGGATTTCTTTCTTCTTTCTACACCAATGCTCTAATCCTTTGAATGTCCCATCAGATTGAACAAACTCTGACATCATATTAGAAAAAATTGACGTAGGAGAAAGTAGACAAGAGAAGTAGGATGGAAATACACATATTTATACTAGTTTTATTTAAACAACCACTTTCAATACATTTATTTGTGCTAGTTTTATTCTAGCTAACCACACCATTACTACTTAGCATGCATACATTTAGAAAAACTAAAAGGACTATTTTCTAAAATACATTGATACATTATTTTAAATTTCAAAATTAATTCCAACAACATAGAGATGCATAGCATTACAACTCTACGCCATAATCGGTTCGTAGCCTTCTTCTCTCTCCTTTTTCGGTCTAGAAACGAGGCCGACAGCAATGGCTATTATTGCCAGTCCAAACACAGCTACTATTGCTATAGCAGGCGTTGATACTTTCATGTTTTTATGCATCTGCAAGAACCAAGAAACATTTACAGCAGCTAACCAATTTGCATATAAAGTAGAAGATTCATTCATCGACATTTTATAATAGGTTTGTAGAAACCATTAAAAAATGAATGAAAACTTACATGAATCGGATAGTACAAGAAATTGGTGGGATTTGGTGTTCTGTCTGCAACCAAAATGTAGAAAAGGCCCATAACTCCGGTGTGCTTTTGAGTACTGCTGTAATTAGATTCAAGAACTAGTTTCTCCCCAGCTGTTATCTGGATGGAGCCTGGTTCAGGATAACAGGTGGACATTCCTACTATATAACCTGCCTCATCTCCTGCATCTTTTCCTTTTCCATAAATTGGTTCTGAAGTACATATAACACTTCCATCCTGCAAAAGTGGAACACACTTGCTTATGATAGGGATATCAGATGTCATATTATTCACTCCCACTTAAATGCGATTGCATAAACATTCCACAGAATAATGAAAGAAGATATGTGGTGGTAGACAGAAAGCAGTCCTAGTAAACCTGAGTGAAAAGAACATGGAACTTTGAAAACAATTAAGGGCTGTCATATATTTATGATTCTAGCAGAGATTAAAGATGTACCTCCCCAAACAGAGTTGAACCAGTTCCCCCAGTATGCTGGTGGGCAACACCATAGATGACATTACCACTGATTGGCATGGTTAGGCTTGTCCTTCGGACGTCAATGCATCCATTAGAAGCTGCCTCTTCCCTGCTGCAAGATTCAATATCATACTCGACCTGCAGAAATTAAAAATCTTTTGGTGATCCCCAATTTAACAAAAGTATTCGGCACTGTTGGAAATGAGTCTATTGCTGTTAGTTATAAATTTGTAACTACTAGGATCCAGCGCGAACGTCACTTCAGGGCAATTCACTCGGTGAATACTGATGCAAAGCACACCATTGGAGAAGTTCAATCTCATACATAAGCCATGGGTGCCTGATTTAATTCTCATGTAATGTTAGAAAACCAACCAAGGAAGTTATTTTACCTGGCAACCATTCTCTGGACTCAATGGTGTAGAAACATTAAGCCTTTTCCCAGTATCAGTGACATCAAGTAGAATGATTTTAACAGGAATAATGCCAAAATCCCAATCAACCCATTCCACCGTATATCGCAAGTATAGACTCCTCCTGGCACCCCCATAACCTTTTCGTACCTTGCAATGAGTTTGGTCATAGCAACAACTTATACCCCCTCTGTAGTCTGGCCTCAAAGGCTCGCCATATTCATCCACTGTGATGTTGTAGAGATCACACCTGCATTCAGTGCATCCTAACCTATCTACAGCACCCCGTGTATCGATGGCATGAACATTAAGCATCCATTTCTCCTCATATCCTGCAGGAATTCTAGCAGGGTTGCCAATTTCTACTGCATAAGGATCGGGAATATGAGTATCTGTTTTTCGTGTTTCAGATCCAAGGCCAAAATACTGTCCCAGAACATTATCTTGGCATATTCCACTGTTTCTTGCGAATATAAGATCTGGCTCCTGAAACTTCTGCTTATCATTGTTCTCAGCCATATCCTGACGCTTATAGTACTTCTCGACAAGCCAATGGTGAAGGTAAGTTTCATGAAGGGGTATAGGATTCCCAGCTTCATCAATTACTTCAGCATTAAAACTCTTAAGACCAATATGACCTCTTGGAAAGTCAATATTGTGGTAAAACCTATTCTCCACTGATCCTGGCTTCAGTACAAACTCAGGTGAAAGAAAAGTGGCGGATTTGATCTTATTTCCAATTTTCAGAGAAGCTAGCGAGCAAGATATATTGAATGCCAGTATTAGCATAACCAACAAAAGCAAGCCTCCATGAGAACCCTGTGCCATATTGCCTGCCAGTTCCGAATTTCAGGTTAAACTATGCCATCTTTCAGAAACGGAAGCATGATATCAATTTATACACATATATAGCCCAATAGTACTGTTCATATATTTAAATCAGTAGATTCATTAAGTTTTCTTTACATAGATGGATATTAAAAAATCATTTCCTGAAATTTACTTGCAGACCAGAGCATATATATATATATATATAATGAAACTTTTTTATTTCTTTTTAACTTGATCCTGTAGAATCGTTACTGTAAGAAAATGAATAGTTGACATCTAAATAATCTAAGTACCTATGCGGATAGAATAGATGAAAAAAATAACCATATCTGATGTATGTTCAGCCAAATTAATTAAAGTGGAGATCATGAAAGATCAGCTGATTTAGTTAACTGAAAAATGTTTTCCAAACTACTACTTCATGGGAAGCATAATATGATTGGCTAAAGGTAGCTTCCGCGCCCCAATCTTTTCCTTCTGTTCTTCGTTATTTATATATTGCTTCCCAAAATCATAGGCTTTCATACTCTCTTGGTAAAACCCCTCCTAGCTATAGTTAATCTAAATGTAAACAAAGATGAATATGTACATGTATATATGAAATCCTAATGAACTAGCATGGTGACAATAAAGGACACGGACCAGAGAAGGATAAAAAAAAAAAGCAGACAGCAAAACATATGCCATATATGATATATATTGGTCATGCTAAGTTTAAGCCAACGCTTTTAAATAAAAGCAGCTCCCTAAATAAATGGCAGAAAGTATGGATGTTGATGATTGATAGCTCGAAACAAGCTTCATATTAATAAAATCTCGATGATTAATGATGATATTTGATAGCTCGAAAAAGCTTCATAGCAATAAAACAACAGTGACAAATTGCATTCGAAGAGGGGTGTGCTAAATATAAATAAAAACATCATAAAAGTTTCTATGTTAGCTAGCATAAATGAAACAAATATCTATGTTTGCATCATGATAAATCCTGTAAAAAGAAAAATTGATATAATGGTTAAAGGAATTCTAGCAGTAGCATAAGTCTCGATCGAAATTAAATTTCTCTCTAGACAATTTAAAAAAATATATATATCTCATATAATATATTTAGAAGAATAAACTTCTCCGTATATTAATCTCAAGATTCAAATGGACAACCAAGATTTAAAGTTAATCCTGTAAAAATGAAGAAATAAATCAAGATAGAAAGAAATGAGGATGCGTACCAAAATGTGAAAAGTCGCCTATAGTGACAAAAGTGCTGGCTTGTAGTTGCTTCCAAAGCTCCCTCTCTTTTGTTCTGATAGGGGACAAAGATTATGGCTACAACGAAAAATATTAGAGAGGGACGAGATTTATAGCAACATGTTCGTGTGTACGTGTAATGTAAGAGCCGTCTTCCCTATGAAGTAAGAGGGTGAGTTGGTGGCTCGTGCGCGTGTGCCACGCGTTTATAGTCAAAAGGTGCAAGCCGTACTAGTACAGTGGATTTGTTGAGCGGATTCAACAGATTATGTTGACAAAAGCAGAAGATAGCCTAAGCCATGACGTTCACAATTCCACACCCTTCTGCCCAAGCCAAGCCATAATCTTCTTCGTGCCATATGCTTTGTTTTGAATATGAATTTTGGTTTTTGGATTGTAGATTTAGCTTCTAATAATATAATTCAAATGCCGCTACTTTGATCCGTCTGAAATCAAGATTTCTGATTTTAAGAGGTTAGAACTAAATTACTTTCTTTTGATTCGTCACCCACACGAAAGATTGATATTTGCTGAATTTGTTGTTAGTCTTTGAAATCATTAGAAAGAATTCTTTTCGTTGTGTCTCTCTCCTTGATTAGAGTTATAATTAAGGGGATAAAACATTTCATCTGTTTTATCTTTTTAATTATAATTGTCAGGATCCTCATTAACAATCAATACACATAAGGGATTGACATGCCTGTCCACCGTAATCTGTCTGTCTTTAGTGGTGATTCGATTTAGAACGGCCAACCAAGCAACAAAACTATGTCTTGGCACATGTATAGGGCCCCATAACACTTTCTTTTCGGTTTTATCATCTTCCTTCGAGCCCATGTACTGTCACGGAAGTATGCAACAATCCAAAAACTTCTGCCCTAGAGCTTATAAACTTATGTCCATGCCACCCACAACGATCCCGCTTGAAGAATGATGCTCCAATTAAATACTTCTAATAACAGACAGCTAGCATTCCATTCTCTGACTTTCCTCAAGTACTCCAGACCACCCTCTTGTTTCGAAAGAGTTAGATCATTACATGCATGCATCCTTTACTCCCAAAGCATAATCTACCTTCATTTCCATAAGAAGCTATTGCACTTTCTCTCTAGCTCTTCGATAAAACAAACCGGAAGAACAAATAAATATGCCAGCCTCAAAATTTTTTTTTTTTTTTAACAAAAATATATATATACTTTTTTAACCACAAAGCCAGTCTATTTGGATTAGTAATAGTGAATTAAATGTACTCTTTTCATGTTACATAACATCATTTTATACATATATATAGTTGCAATGAACATAAGCTTTGGAAATTTGATGTATTTTATTAATTGATCTAACCCTTTTTTTGTGAATCTATATATAGTTATAAATTATAATTGTGTGTTGATTTGACATTATTATAAGCGATTATCATAGGGATATAAAATGAATAATTTGATGGTATTTTATTAATTATTTCATTTTCAAGATAGAAAGTCTTACAAAAGGAAACGATATGGAAGTTCACCTTAGCGGTTAAGAAATTGAACGTGGGGTAGAAGCCAGCACCGATTTTGCGGACTTATTGCATTAATGACATAGCGTTCACATGATAATACAAGAAGATGGAGTAATAAGTTCGGCAATTAATAAATTATTACCCTGCAAAAATTAATTTTTTATTCGATAATCAGGATATTATCGGATCAATTTTTATATATTTTAAAATTAATTTTTTTAAAACATACTTAAGGATTATTTTTCAATGTATAATATTAAATATTCTGAGAATAAATTCTTAAGAGTGTTGAACTTAAGAATCGAATCTTAAGCTTAACTTGTAAATCAATGCTTATTTATAAACGTATTACAGTCTTATAATTCAGGCAGAAAACAATGACAATAAATATAAACCGATCGATCCGGATGTTGGATGGGTTTGTTGGAATTTGATGGCAAAAGATGACTTGAATGCTCTAGACGGCCGAATTAGTTTGCTTTTGACCATATGAAACAAGTTTCAAAGGTGACGGCAACTTTTATTATTTTACATTTTGTTTCTTTAACGTATTATCGACAAACTAGATATGGTTTCGCGTGATGCGCGACGCTACATGATAGATACTAACGAGTCTTTTCTCTCTCTGTCTCTTTTTTTAATTTTGATTCTTTGGACTTTGAAGATTAAAAATATTACGTTTGATGGAGATGTTGTGTCGGCAGACAACATATGACTTGGATTTGCTCATCTGGCTTCAATGTCTTCTTTCTGTTTTAGAAGTGTGAAACAATCGAAACTTTACTGCTTAACAAGGGGGAAGAAGAAAAGGACAACGATAACAAACAATGTTGCACCGATCCCTTGTATGTCCTTCGTATTTGTTTCCACCAAATTATACGAGACATCTGGAGACCATTCATTTTCAACGTTAGCTTTGGGCTGTCTTGCTGAAAAGCCGATGATTCCGCCATCGAATTGGTTTTGGTTCATGCTAAACGTCGGATGTGAATAGATTTTAATCAAAATCGATTAAAATCGGGGAAAATCTAGTTGGTTGAACCATTCAAGTTAATTATTGGTCCTATTTTTCATAAAAAATAAAAAGATAAAGAGGAAAAAATTTATTTCGTGTAGTTTCAACTTATCTTTTGAAATTGTTGAGACGAGATATAATCGTGGAGAGTAAAACCTTACCATTTATATAGATTATTATTTTATAGTTCAGCCAATAACTACTAGTTGAATCAATAATCTAATAGTCTGTTTGGATTAAAGTTCGAGTTCGGTTTTGTAATGTTAATTAATAAAATCTAAGATTCTCTTTGTTCAAGAAATTTCACAATTTAAAATTTATATTAAAAAAACCTATACCATATATCACTTGTATTGTTGGTTAGGTTGACGATATTATTGTGAACAGAGACTCACAATATAAAACGTTATATAAAGTTAGTATGATGGTTTTATTGGCCGGTTAGTAAGTAGAGGTCAAATGGGTTGTGTTCCTTATGGAGTTCGAGGGTAAAACTCTTGAAATGTTTAGAAAATATTGGATCCGATATATAAGTCTTGTTAGATTTTATTTTTTTCTATAATTTTAGTTGTTTATATTATAAATGAAGATAACTTCACTTGTATTTATAGTCATTATTTGATAAAAACTAATAAAAAATTCTAATGCAATCGTAAAGTAGATATCATTATCAAATTATATAAAATCTTTTTGTTGTAGAATTATTTTTGTTTTTTCTACTCTATTTGTCTCCTAACATTGCTTGTGAATAAATCCAATGCTTTATCATCCCAAAATCACCTCAAATATTACATTGATTTGATCATATATTACATTTTTATTAGTTGAGCTGTTACTCAATTAAGCACATTTAAACAAAAAACGAAAGATTTTATAAAATTAACTAAAAAAAATAAAACATATGGGATAAAGAAACAATGAAATATTATTCATTTGAATAGTAATTTACTGTTCATTGTTCATCACTGTAGCTTAGTTTTTTTTTTTTTTTTTTTTGTAATTTTCAAGTTGTTTCATTTTGGTTCTTAAAAATTTAAATAAAATTTTTATTCCCCTAACTAATGCACTACACATGCCTTTTCCTTTTTTTTTCTTTGGTTTTTTTTTTTTTTTTGCTTTTTTCTTCAATTATGTTCTTTTTTTTTTTTGTTTAATTGGGTGTCATATTTTTGAAAAATTAATTTTTTTCTTTGCTTTTTTCCATTAATTTATGTTCTTTTTTTTTTTAATTGGGTGTTAAAATTTTAAAAAATTAATCGTAACTTTTTTCACATAAACCGACAATTATAAAATATATCTTTTTATATTTTAAAATTAATATATACTTTAGCTTATATTACTCTTATTATTTAAATTTCATTTTTTGAATTTATCATTTTTTAATGAAAATTTTCATCCAATTAATATTTTTTTATATGAAATTTTATTTACCGATATTATATAATTTATTTTTCTCTATATTTGAATTTTAGAATATAATTTTTTTTAAAAATTCTTAATTGAGTTACTAAAATAATAATGCTAGAATTACTTAGAATCTTTTTTTACTAAATATGAATATTGACTTAATTTTTTTCCAATTAATTTTGATGATTGGGTTTGATTGTTAAAAAAGTATATTTTATTTTTTGAAATTAAAATTTTAGAGTTAGTATTGATAAAAATTTATTAAATTTTTCTAAATGTATCTTATATTATGAAATTATGAATATGTCTTTTAAAAATTTTCTAAAAACTTATTAATATAACAATCACATAAATTTTTATATTTTAATTTTTTGTATCAAACAAACATTGAAATATATTTTTCAGTAGTTTTTTCATATAATTTCCAAATGACAAAAAATATGTTCTTGGAAAATAATTTTAAGGAAAATAGCTTCATCAGGAATTGGTTTTCCTATGAGACTTGTTTTTCCTCAAACAAACATAGCGTTAATTGAAAATTTGAGGGTGTAGGACTCAATCCATGGATTATAATAAGTTAAAGGACTAAGAAGAAAGGCTTTAAACCCCCAACGGCCCTCTCGTGAAGTGCTTCTGTTTCCTATTTTAAGTAAGCAAATGGCTGTCCATTTTATTCATAGATAAAAAATTGGAGCCCAAAAAACCGGAAATTTGACCTGAAAAAAAGCAAGCGGGAGGAACGAACAGCATAGCCTGAACCACCGAACTCGCTGCGGTTTTATCAAATTTGCATCATCTGACTCTCTTTTCTCTCTCTGTCCTTAACTGAAAGAATAATTAAAAAAAAAAAGCAGAAGAAGAAATGGGAAGTAAAGAGCGAGCAAAGGAAAGAAGAGAGAAAAGACTCCAAGAAATTTCTCTTCTCCGTACCATTCCTTACTCTGATCATCAAAGGTACTTTTTTTTTAATTGAATTTCCTATTATTTTATTAATTATTATTATTATTCTTTGTCTTTAATCTTCATAGTATTTGCATAAAAATCACAAGTTATAATAATGCATGCGATAAATTAAAATCATAATTGTGTTTTTGGTTGTGGTTATTTGCGATAATTTTTGTAATTCATCAAGAAATCAATGTTTAGGAAATGATGCACATCACAATTTTTTATCAATTAAGAGGAATTGTCCATTTTTTTCCTGATGTATAGAAAAGCTGAGTTGGGATCCATTTTGTGGTGGTCTGCTGTTTGTTTATATATCATGGTTGCAGATAAATGATAATGTAGATTGTTTCATGCCGCCTGTTATTATCATGTGAATAGCTAGGTTGCTGTTTTAAATTGGATTTAGAGTCAGAGATGATGTGATTGCAATTCTCGTTTTTGAATGAAGCTTCTGTACTTAAATCAATTTTGGAGCGAAAATGCTTCTCCGGTGTGTTTAGTAAATGCTTCTATTATTATTACTATTATTTTGATAGTTTACAAGGGCTGGATTGTCTTGTAACTGACTGCGTTAGGTCATGCTAGCACTCGAGTTGATGAGAACCCATCTTTTTTATCAGTAAATGATTGCATATTTGTGTTAGTTGTATATTGTTTATATGTAGGTATGTTTTATGGAAAGAAATACTGCTGTTTCACATATGAAATTCTAGCTGTTTTAACATAAAGCAACAGTTGCTTTTAGCTTAAAAGTACTGATAACAGACATTAATTAAGCATGGTTTTCTGCTTCTTTTTTTTTCGAATTACAGTCAAATATGCAAGATAGTTATATGTGTTTTGGAAATGTAGTTCACATTAGTATTCTATAAACTTGTTTTAGAAATGTAAACGTAATGGGTTTGAAAATGCTAGCACATTTTTTGTGTGGCTCTGTTTCTATTCATTCTGTTGCAAAACAATTTGGTTTGCTTTGATTCTATGGCCAAATGCCTGCACCTCTGATTACAGTGGTTAGGTGGTGTTGCATTCATGATCAAAATCCGGCATTATGCATGTGGATCGTGAACTGCAAACTAGAGTTTTGGGGGATAGGGCTTGTTAGGGGCTTAGAGTATTCAACTTTAGGATGTGGGATGCATAATGCTGTTCCAACTCAAGTATAGAATAATAAATTGATACTCCTAAAAGCAGTGTAACTTCAATTTGGCATACTGTTTGTAGGTGGTGGTCATCAGAAACTGTTGCTGTGGTGACTGGTGGAAACAGAGGAATAGGATTTGAGATTGCAAGACAGCTTGCAGACCATGGGTTGACAGTTATCCTGACATCAAGAGAAAGTAGCGCTGGCCTTGAGGCTGCCAATGTCTTGCAAGAGTTGGGTTTGAGCGTGGACTTCCATCAACTTGATGTCTTGGATTCTTTATCCATTAAAAAGTTTGCTGAATGGATACAACAAACTTATGGAGGAATAGATGTGTTGGTAAGTTGTCTGCACTTCTGTCTTCAATTTTAGCGATATCACATAGATTTTAACTATTATAATTCCATGTTTTATGTATGCTATCTCATAGATTTTTCCCAGAATTTCTTTGAAGCATCTTATGCTTTTTTTTTTCTTTTTTCCTTTTATAGGTGAATAATGCTGGTGTTAACTACAATCTTGGATCTGAGAATTCTGTTGAATTTGCTCAGAATGTTATTGCTACCAACTATTATGGTACTAAAAATGTCACTCATGCTATGATTCCCTTGATGAGACCTTCTGCTGTAGGTGCTCGTATTGTTAACGTAAGTTCACGGCTTGGAAGACTAAATGGCAGACGAAACGTAAGTGAAAGTGATACTTTTATCTCCCATAGCCCTCTCTCCAAAAGATAGGATGTGATTCTGCTTGAGCTATATAGGCTTTTTCCTCCCCCTCAATGCATGTGCAACAAGATGTTTTCTTTTAATTGGAACTAGTCTGAAGCATATTTGAGATTTAATTCATGCTAGTCTTATAATTGACTTGGTTATGAACCTGTCACCTTAGAACGAGTAATGCTATTGAAGACTTGGACTGACTTTAACCTTTATGTGTTGAAGACATCTTCATAAAATAAATGGTCCTGCTTTAGCTGCAATTTGAGCGCAGAAATTTAATTTTCTTCTTTTCTCATTTTCATACAATAGGATACTGACTGTAAACAGAAAATTGAAGCCATATACTCTACCACAAAGCACATATCTAATCCCTGCCAAGAACCAGAGGAAAAGGATTGACAGAAATAAAAAAGAAAGAAAAATAAGAAACTCTGTTGTTATTACTCATTGTATCTTTAGCATGTTCCATGTGTCTGTTTCAGAGATTCAGCTATTTCATAAAGAGTGGTGAAAGAAGTTAATCTGTTTTATGTGTTACACGTTCTTTTTCAATCTACTGAGCTAATTGTAGTTTGGGTGACCTTAACAGAGAATTGAAAACGAAAATTTGAGAGAACAACTGGGTAACCTGGAAACACTGTCAGAGGAACTCATTGATAGAACAATGTCTACTTTCCTACAACAAGTAGAAGAGGGCACTTATACTTCAGGTGGGTGGCCTCAGTCGTTCACTGATTACTCTGTGTCAAAACTTGCAGTTAATGCTTTTACTAGGCTAATGGCAAAGAAACTGTCTGATCGGCCTGATGGTGAGAAGATTTATGTAAACTGCTACTGCCCGGGGTGGGTGAAGACAGCCATGACAGGTTGGGCTGGTAATGTATCAGCTGAGGATGGAGCTGACACTGGAGTATGGCTGGCCCTGCTTCCAGACCAAGCAATAACAGGAAAATTTTTTGCAGAGAGACGTGAGATAAATTTCTGAGGCAATCAGGCTGAAAGATGCCATCAGGTTCAAGAACTGTTTTACACTCTTTTAATGAACTGCCGATGCATAACATTCCAATGTTAAAAAAATTTAAATCCAGTAGAGACTAGAGAGGGTGTCATCAGCCTGCATTTTCCAACTCAGGGGTCGCCTTGTGGATTCTACTTGAGAACGAGAGCAAGTCCTATGCCAACAGAATGGAAATATATATGTACTTAGATTGCCAGTCTGCTTAATGTCTAGAAGGGTATGTCAAGCGCCATTCAATATCCAATTTCCCTTGAAAGACATTATATGTTTGTTGAAGTTACTTAAGGAAGTGATTGGCCTCAAAATATAACAAAGCCGTTCTGTGCTGTGATTTTCTGTCTCTTGTCTTTAGCTGTTTACCTTTACTATTTTTGTTGGTTTAATGGCAAAAATTGCCCCTGTTCTATTGCAATTTGGCAATTTTAGGTTTTTATTATCAATTTGCATAATTTGAATCCTAAAATATCGATTTTTAGGTAAATCTTATCCAAATCCCTTAATTGTAACAGTAAAAAACGGATTGGATAAGATTTGCCTAAAAACTGAGATTTTGGGACTTAAATTATATAAATTGATAACAAAAGTCTGAAATTGCCAAATTGCAATAGAACCCGCATAATTTTTGCTGTATAACCTATTTTGGTTGAAGCTTTCTGTCAAATTTATCTGCAAATTTTGAATTGTTTTGGTATTTCGAGATATTCTTTTTATAGCTTTCCAAGTGCAAAGCCATTTTCTTGTCTGAAAAGATAATGTTAAACTGATGATAAAAGCAGGGGAATCCTCAGTGGCTTGACTGTGAAATTTTCGTGTGATCATAGTGATAACTGGTTGCTGGTTACTGTAAAACTGACTCTTGACTGTTGAAGGATACCCATAATTAGTTTATGAGAGGAATAAGTTATGGATGAGAGCATGATTTATCATATTCGTATAATCCACATCACTGAAATCAAATCCACCATTAGGATTTTTATTCATGCATGAATAGGAGGTAGTTAAGAAAAATGTGAATGACTAGTCAATTTGATTCAAGATAAAACCCAACCAATTAGGCTTGAGAGACATGTAATTAACACCAATATAACTCTTTTTTCTTTTTGAATCCTTATGTGTATTGCAGGTCTAAAAATTCAAATTAATATCTTGCTATTTTGGCAAGCATACAAATCGAAAATAACTATCCAAAAAATGTTTTTTACATATACAAATATTTAAATTTGAGATTACTTATTTAAACGATTAGAATTTATTTCACTCATGTTAACTCTTTGGAATATAATTTGAAAATAATAGTAAAACGGATTTCATATCGGGACAAATGGTTTTATGAACATTCTCAAAATCAATCAATCACTAATATTTATAATGTTATTCATATACTCAAAATCATTATTTTTTAAGAGCCGTTTTTGGTTGCATTTAAAAAAAAAAAAAAGATAAAAAAATTAACAATTTTTATTTGCTACTAGGGGCAAAAAAAAAAAAAAAAAAAGCAATGGCAGAAGTGTTTTTTCATTCGTTTCTGCGCCTAAGCCAACCAACATCAATTCCCCCCCCCCCCCCCCCCCCCCCCAAAAAAAAAAAAAAAAAAAAAACGGAAAGTTAAAAAAGAGAAAATGGCAAATCTCAAATATACCTCCAATAGTTCGGGGTGCATCAATTTTGTATTCAACCTATTTTTTCTTTCAATTTTATTTTTAAACTATTTTTATTTTTCTTTCAAGAATTTTTGTTAGAATTATTTAACAAAAAAAAGTTAAGTTCTCTAGAGAATGACAACGTTTTTTAATTAAAAAAAGTATGATCTGAATGGAAATTTAGATGTAAAGTTTTAAAAATGAATGGAAGTTTATAATTGAGAATTCTTGAAATTTTAAAAGGCAAAATTGATTAAAAAATAATAGGTACGAAATTGAGACTATATATATATATAGTTGTAGGGTATTTTTGATGTTTGCGTAATTGCGTCATTGAAAAACTAAAGAACATCACGTGTCTCGTGCACCTACCAACAACGTAGCATTGCTCTCAACCGTTAAACGAACCCAATCACATCCAGGACGACATGTTTAACAAGAATTATCTTCAAATGACATGTCGTCTAAGGATCCCTTACCGTTTTAGTACTCTTTTTTGGTTCTTGCAATAGAACAAGAGCAGATCAGTAAAATGGCGAGCCTGAGAAGAGCTCTAGTTAACGTCCACCGTATCCTCAACTCCACCACCGCACCCAGTCACATCTCAGTTATATCCCCTTTAAGGTACCAATCAATTTTTATCTTAAAATTTCGATTCTTTTGATGTTATTTAATTCTAAAATTTTAAACTTTTTTGCCTTTTCAGGTCTCAATATGGGCTGTTTTCACGTTATTCAACGTTAAACAACAATGACAATAAAAACCCATCATTCGATATTGACCTCTCTAATGAAGAAAGCAAAAGGAGATTATGTAACAGGTATTCTTGTCATTTTTTTCTCATAAAGTTTTAATCTTTTGTAGATTTTTTGTTGGCTGTCTAGTGTCTAATACACGAACTGATTGTTTTTGTTTTTATGTATTTAAGGCTGTTGTATAGGAGTAGACAAAGAGGGTTTTTGGAGCTGGATTTGGTGTTGGGGAAATGGGTAGAAGAGCACATTTATTCTATGGATGAAAATGGTGTTAAAGCACTTGTTGATGTCCTTGATTTGGTATAAAATATTTCTCCTTCACTTTCATTTGTTACGAGTGTTTATGGGCTGATAGATTGGTTTTGATTATCGGGCTGCATGAGTTTTTATGATTCATAATGGTTTTAATTTTAATTTGTCTCTTTTAGCTTGTTTTCCTTCTTTGCTCTAACCACGGGAATAGTTCTGTTCTAATCACTTCGATTGGTGATAATGTCAAATAACAGCTGATTAAAATGTTCTTGTTTGAAGTTGGTTCTCAATGTGAACTTTGATCTTGTGTGAACTAACTGGATTTAAGGTGGTTTTAATGATTCAAAAATTGCAACTTTAAGGGAGTTTTAATGTCTCAGTTACTTTTAGAATTCTGCATCAGATATTGTCAATTGGAACCCAAGTATTACAACTGCCGCTGCTTTTTGGTTCTGGTTTTTGTGTGATCTGTTACACAATCGAATTTGATCCAATTATTTTCTGTTTTGTATATTTGATAAGCTTTTTTGACTGAAAATCTATTCTAAACATCAAAGTTCGAACCTTGGACGGCAATGGTATTCTCCTGTCTCGAACTCAAGCCAAGAAGCCAAGATTGATTTTGTTATCAAATGTTTGATGTAGTCTGGTGCTGAATCTAAAAAACCTTTAGCAGGCTTTAACTCCTTATATTCATTGTATACATTGTCAATTGGAACTGGTGTATTGTAGCTTTAAGCAATTTGTGTTACATAATTATTTGAGAACATTTTCAGTAGTACTTGGTTCTAGTGTGTTTTGTTTGCTAAGTAAACTTTGGACTAGCAAGAAAAGGTATTAAGGTAGTTTTGATGCCCCAGATTTTGAAACTTCAACATAGTTTTAACACCTCAAGGTTGGGCTTTGAGAATTCTTCATTAAACATTGTCAAGTGGAACTGGTGTGTTGCAGCTTATATTGCATTTTTTGTTCTGCTTTTCTGTTGTTTTGATCTGGTACATATGGAGTAAAATATGGTTTATTTTTCTGATTTTTTGGGGGTCTTTGTTAACTTTTGTGGTTACAACTTTTATAAAAATCAAAACTAGAATGTTACACCTAATCGATACCATGCTCTACTCTCTACTTATACAACTTAAGATTCTAGTTTCTGGTGATAAGTTCTATGCCAAATCATGGGTGGTGAAATCCCAACAGTTTACCCCTAGTATCACAATGTTGTCCCTAGTTATCTACCCTAAGTAGAGCATTCTGTAAGCTTATGAAGATCCATCAACTGAGCAGATCAGTTAAGAAAGGCTGAGTCGGTTCTCTTCCTCAATAATCAAAACACTTAAAGACGTCTTTTTGCTATATGGAGGGACGGCAAGAATATTTGTGTAGTCACTTGGAACATAGTCTATAAAAGTTTTCTTGCCTTGCATATTTGATGCCTAGGTACAAATTAAGATAATGCCAAAAGAGACTACATTTGTAGATTTGCTTTGACATATTACTTGACAAAGGCTATAGGATAATTGCTTTGTCTGAACTCTGAAAGAGAAAAGGGCTTTATCTAGTGTTTAATATTTGTATTTGAATATATTGTTTTGCTTCTGCAGGAAAATCCAGATCTTTGGAAATGGTTAACTGGACAGGAGCAACCCCCAGAGGCAGTGAGCATAAATCCTGTGAGGCATTTAGATAGCCCTAAAATTTGGTTTTCCTCCAGATTCTTTCTTTCCCAATATACTGCATGCTTATGTGATTTATTTGCTGTAATAGGTCTTCTCTGCGGTGCGTGACAAGATCATGAACAACCTCAGGATCCATGCTGCCCCTGAGACACGGGCAATACCTGGACAGCCATGGGTAAGAGGATGGGATGATATCAAGAAAAGTGCTGGCAGCCCTGTAGCTGGAAACCAGTAGCTCCACAACTACTTGGAAGCTACGTAGGCTGTTCATTTGCAACATTTTGACCAGTCATAATGTGTGCTCTTATGTGTACTGTAATTATTGTTGTTAGTTCTTCTCATGACTAGCAAAATAAAAAAAGGGCTACAGGCTGTTAACAAAAGAGGAGCTGTATCTGTAGGCCTTGAATTTTTCACTGCTGAACCTTAGAGCAAGATTATTGTGTATGAAGTTATTTAAAAATAAAAAACAGAGAATATTGTGTATGAAAGGCATGTTACCTGTTATGAGCTTTGTTCTGTGTCTCATTTAGATAGTCTTCTTTGGTAATGGTGTGCTCGATGCGGTCAGGGTTCTCTACGCATGTTTGAGAGATAGTAGTGCACACAAAGATCAAATGAAAACAAGCAGCCATCGAGGCACCCATAAGAAAATGATTAAGTGAGGCCGAGCGGCAATTCTGATGAATCGAAAGTTTTGTTGGGCCGAAAATGGAATTTCCCATTTTTATGTTCTGTATTGTAATATGAAATATTTGTCAAGGATAAACCACCGCCTCTGTTTCTTTTGTGGACCTTATTTGTTCACCCTGCGGCTTTCTTATGCTTTCCTCTTTAGTTATTTGAATTGTAGAAGAACTAAGAAACAAGAACAATGGACTCTAAAATGCAATCCATCCATCTCCTGATTGTCATATTTGCCTGCGCTCCCTGTTTCTCTTCAGTAGCATCAAAATCAGATGACCCAACTCCAGCTCCATGGCCACACCAATTCCACTCGATACTTTTCATGAATAACAACGGCACACTGCAGGTGGTGGACCTCTGGTATGACTGGACTAACGGCCGCAACTTCAACATAATCCAGAACCAACTTGGAAAGCTTCTTTACGACCTTGAGTGGGACAATGGAACCTCCTATATCTACACCTTAGACTCCAATCAAGAATGCAGAGTCTTGCATTTCCCAGTTGGTGTTCTCCGCCCCAATTGGCTTGAAGGTGCTAACTATCTTGGCCAACAGGAAGTTGATGGCTTCCTCTGCAACGTGTGGGAGAAGGTGGACTTTATTTGGTACTACGAGGATATAATAACCAAGAGACCTGTTCACTGGATCTTTTTCACAGGTACTCCTTTTGATACCATCTCCTTTTAAGCTCAAAACTAACCAATGCCCATTTCTTTTCAGCATTGTCTGTTGTTGTTTAATCAAAGCTCATAAGCTAGTGGATTGGTTCGTATAATCAAGTAGATTTTGGGTGTTTGCTAGGCGTGAGTTTATTAGGGCTTTTTGATGATGAAAACCTGTGGATTTGCAGGTATGACTGCTCATGTGATGACATTTGAAGTGGGGGCAGTGCTAGAGGATCGGAAGTGGCAGGCTCCTTGTTATTGTTTTAAGGAGTCTAAGAAGGAGGAGAACACTGTCCTTGAATCTGTGGTTAGTCATGGATTATCTCGTGGAGGGTTAATGACAGGAGTGTTTAATGCTCCTATGCTATAGTGATTGTCTCTTTCGAGCTTCATTTCCATTGCATCTTAATAAATTTCATGATTACATGATCATTGATTTTCGATTACTTCTCCAACGACAATTTTCCTTTGCAATTATGCTTGTAGGTTTCTGAACTACCAAATTTCTGGGGAAATAACTTGCAAGTGCATGGTGTCTTTATACAAGGCCAAAAAAATTTCATCTGTGAAGTTTTTTTTGCCTGAAGTATAAAAAAACATTGCCAACTACTAGTAACATAACTAACCTCGACTAAACAAATGCGTAAATGCAAGAAAAGGAAACCTACAAATATCTATTAATCTGTCTAATTTATACAGTCCATGTCTTGATGTTTAGCCATGTAGAGAGAAACCATGCTCTCAACATAATCATGACCTTCGTTAAACCCGTCGCTACCCGACGTCGGACGAGACTCCCATAAAAAAAAATCTATCCGGTGATATCACTAGTTTCGGATCTTTATTTTATTTATAAGACTATTTGCGAGTTTGGAGTCGCCACCTAGTATTGAAGGAACTAGGAACCTAAAATTGGCACTCGGTTTAGAGATTCTATGGTAAGGAGTCGGTTACGCTTATGGAAAAATAATTAATCACCCAAAAGTGCCCTTTTCTAAGAAAGGTACCACATGTAGCTTAGTCCTAAATTATCTCCTAAAGTATTTTATTTTTGCCAAATTATTTTTCAGTTTTTGAGACTCCAATTTTTCAAGTCAAATTAAGTTTTTTATTTTTGAGCGTGGCATCGTATTGAAACGATCGTCGGACCCTTTTCATCGAGAGACACGTCGATTCAAACATCGGATCCACCTTTTTTGAGTCTCGACACAACCGGTGTGCCGGAGAACACTTGTTTATTAGAAAAAAAAACTTTTTTTTTTTTTGACTAACAACGAGTCCCTATCGGATAGGAGACTTTGTTAAAAAGTTTTATGATTTTTTTTTGTTATTTTTTTCTTTTATTTTATTATTATATTTTATTTATTTATTTATTTCTTTTTAAGAAGGGTTATCATCGATCCCTAAAACTTAGGAGACTTGACAATCTTCTACTTATTACTTACCGAACCTAATTAATAAACAAATAAATTAAAGCTACATGAATTAAATAAAAGAAATCAAATACCGAAATTTAAATTAGTAACAAGCATACATAAAATAAATTCCAGCATTAAAAATTACATTAATTAAAATAATAAAAACAATTCAATAGCTAATTTTAATACGAAATAACAAAATCCCAAAAAAAAATTCACTCTTTTTTCTTTTCTTTTTTTTTTTTTTTTTGGGCTGTCCAGCTCGAATTTCTCTTTTTTTTTTTTTATTTGCGGATCGGACTGAAATTTCAGTCCAGTCCATTAACCCGTGGGTTGGGCCACCTAACCCATAACATTTAAAACCAAAAAAAACCCAAAAACCAAACCCAAAACCCATTTCAAGCATAACTTAAGATCAAAACCCCTTTTTCTTTTTTTTTTTTCAATTTCCCTTTTCTCCTCTCTCTTTCCCGTTTCTCTTTCTTCTTCTTCTTCTTCCCTTCTCTCTACCCGATCGCCATGGACGAACCGAGTTCGTCCCTTTTTTTTTTTCGTTTTCTTCTCTTCCTCATTTCCCGCACCCCTCTCTTCTTTCTTTTCCTTCCCTTTCTCCTTTCTCTCCCTTTCCCGTCTCTTTTTTTTTGGTAACATGTTGCTGCTGCCATGGACGAACCAGTGGAGGTTCGTCCATGGCAGCCTTGATTTTCCCTTTTCTTTCTTTCTTCTCCCCTTTCTTTCCTTCTTTCCCTCGCTCAAACAAAAACCCCCAAATCAATTTCTAAAAATTTTCTCCAATTCCGACCGAACCCTAATTTTTCAATTCTTCAAATTTTCATGCGATATTGCTTTGATTAGAGTGAAATCAAGTTAATTCGACCCTTTAGGACTCAATTGTATCAAAACCCCCAAATCTATTCTTCAAATTTTTACAATTTCGAAAAAAATCCCAAATTTAAATCGGACTTAAATTGAAACAAAAAAATGAAATTAAAGAGAAATTAGAGGGATTACCTAAAAGAATTGGTTGGAATGGATGAGGATCGCCTTCGATTCGAGTAAATTTAATTTCCCTTTTTTTTTTTTTCTCTCTTTTTTTCTTTACTCGTCGATTTGCCTCTCTTTTTTTTTTTATCGCTAACTCTCTCCTAATTTTGCGAGGCTTCACTCTTAATTTTCTTGGATATCGGACTAAAGAAAAAAAAATCCCCCTCCCTCGTCTTTTTTTCTTTTTTCTTTTTTTTTTTTTTGCCGTCGCCCTCGTATGTATATATATATGTGAATGTGGCTTGGTTGGTTCCCCCACTATGATGGTGGGGGATTTTCTGCGAGTTTTCTGGAGTGGGCGTGTCTAACCATTTTTTTGGTCCTAAGGGATGGCTATGGCGAGGTCGGTAAGGGGAAGGTAGTTCGATTGCCTGCAATTTGCGGCATGGTGAGGTTGCAGGAATCGGGGGATTGCCTCGGAGATTGCTAGATATGGGGGAAGTTGTTTGGAGGGACTGTGGGAGTTGTGTGGCTCTTTTTCTTACTTTTTTTTTTTTTTGGTCGTCCGGCCTGAATTTCTCTTCTTTTTTTATTTGCGGCTCGGATCGAAATTTCGGTCCAGATCCATTAACTCCGTGGGTTGGGCCACCTAACCCACAACATTTAAAACCAAAAAAAAACCCAAAAACCAAACCCAAAACCCATTTCAAGCATAACTTAAGATCAAAACCCCTTTTTCTTTTTTTTTTCAATTTCCCTTTTCTCCTCTCTCTTTCCCGTTTCTCTTTCTTCTTCTTCTTCCCTTCTCTCTACCCGATCGCCATGGACGAACCGGGTTCGTCCCCTTTTTTTTCGTTTTCTTCTCTTCCTCCTTTCCCACACCCCTCTCTTCTTTCTTTTCCTTCCCTTTCTCCTTTCTCTCCCTTTCCCGTCTCTCTTTTTTTTGTAACATGTTGCTGCTGCCATGGACGAACCGAGTGGAGGTTCGTCCATGGCAGCTTGATTTTCCCTTTTCTTTCTTTCTTCTCCCTTTCTTTCCTTCTTTCCCTCGCTCAAACAAAAACCCCCAAATCAATTTCTAAAAATTTTCTCCAATTCGACCGAACCCTAATTTTTCAATTCTTCAAATTTTCATGCGATATTGCTTTTATGAGAGTGAAATCAAGTTAATTCGACCCTTTAGGACTCAATTTTATCAAAACCCCCAAATCTATTCTTCAAATTTTTACAATTTTGAAAAAATCCCAAATTTAAATCGGACTTAAATTGAAACAAAAAAATGAAATTAAAGAGAAATTAGAGGGATTACCTAAAAGAATTGGTTGGAATGGATGAGGATCGCCTTCGATTCGAGTAAATTTAATTTCCCTTTTTTTTTTTTTGATTTTCTCTCTTTTTTTCTTTACTTGTCGATTTGCCTCTTTTTTTTTTATCGCTAACTCTCTCCTAATTTTGCGGGCTTCACTCTTAATTTTCTTGGATATCGGACTAAACAAAAAAAATCCCCCTCCCCTGTCTTTTTTTCTTTTTTCTTTTTTTTTTCTTCTGCCCTTGTATGTATATATATATGTGAATGTGGCTTGGTTGGTTCCCCCACTATGATGGTGGGGGATTTTCTACGAGTTTTTTGGAGTGAGCGTGTCCGACCATTTTTTGGTCCTAAGGGATGGCTATGGCGAGTGGCTGGTAAGGGGAAGGTAGTGCGATTGCTTGCAATTTGCGGCATGGTGAGGTTGCAGGAATTGGGAGATTGCCCCGGAGATTGCTAGATATGGGGGAAGTTGTCCGGAGGGACCTGTGGGAGTTGTGTGGCTCTTTTTTCTTACTTTTTTTTTTTTTAGGTCATCCAGTCTGAATTTCTCTTCTTTTTTTTTTATTTGCGAGATCGGACTCGAAATTTCGATCCAGTTCATTAACTCCGTGGGTTGGGCCACTCAACCCACAACATTTAAAACCAAAAAAAACCCAAAAACCAAACCCAAAACCCATTTCAAGCATAACTTAAGATCAAAACCCCTTTTTCTTTTTTTTTTCAATTTCCCTTTTCTCCTCTCTCTTTCTCGTTTCTCTTTCTTCTTCTTCTTCCCTTCTCTCTACCCGATCGCCGATTCGTCCCCTTTTTTTTGTTTTCTTCTCTTCCTCCTTTCCCGCACCCCTCTCTTCTTTCTTTTCCTTCCCTTTCTCCTTTCTCTCCCTTTCCCGTCTCTCTTTTTTTTGTAACATGTTGCTTGCTGCCATGGACGAACCAGTGGAGGTTCGTCCATGGCGGCTTGATTTTCCCTTTTCTTTCTTTCTTCTCCCCTTTCTTTCCTTCTTTCCCTCGCTCAAACAAAAACCCCCAAATCAATTTCTAAAAATTTTCTCCAATTCGACCGAACCCTAATTTTTCAATTCTTCAAATTTTCATGCGATATTGCTTTGATTAGAGTGAAATCAAGTTAATTCGACCCTTTAGGACTCAATTTTATCAAAACCCCCAAATCTATTCTTCAAATTTTTACAATTTCGAAAAAATCCCAAATTTAAATCGGACTTAAATTGAAACAAAAAAACGAAATTAAAGAGAAATTAGAGGGATTACCTAAAAGAATTGGTTGGAATGGATGAGGATCGCCTTCGATTCGAGTAAATTTAATTTCCCTTTTTTTTTTTCTCTCTTTTTTTCTTTACTCGTCGATTTGCCTCTCTTTTTTTTTTTATCGCTAACTCTCTCCTAATTTTGCGGGCTTCACTCTTAATTTTCTTGGATATCGGACTAAAGAAAAAAAATCCCCCCTCCCCTGTCTTTTTTTTCTTTTTTTCTTTTTTGTTTTTTTCTGTCGCTCTCGTATGTATATATATATGTGAATGTGGCTTGGTTGGTTCCCCCACTATGATGGTGGGGGATTTTCTGCGAGTTTTCCGGAGTGGGCGTGTCCGACCATTTTTTGGTCCTAAGGGATGGCTATGGCGAGGGCTGGTAAGGGGA